AGGTTTGGAGAAGGATTCAGGCTGTTCTTTCTCCAGCATTTTTACTTCGGAGGAACCAGGTTCCTCTTGATTAGCCTCTGAGTCTAGGACCAAGGAATCCACATTCTTTGCTATGTTCACTGTGTCTTTATTAGGTATGATAAAAGTTGAGCGCTGCTCTACGGAATTATGGGGACTCCTAGGACAGAGACACTCTTCTGTGTCATGTCCAGGCCCAAGACTCTTCCAGGGTGGTGGCCTCGCAGGGGAGGCTGAGGGATCTGCCCCATTTGTTTCAAGGCTCTGACATCATGGAGTCCTCATCATCCTAGCCCCACTGCTCTCTCATCCCTGGCTTGAGGTTCCCTTCCTGGACCCTTTCTTGCCCTCAGTGACCTGCTTCCATTCCTCTCTCTATATTTGGTTGCTCTTTTTGACATGGGACCGAGTTCTCTGCTCTAAGCATTGCTAGTTTGCTCTCAAGATCTGAGCAGCTGTCTGGAAATCTACTTGGCCTTGATCCTTCTCCTGCTAGTGCCGAAGCTGGGGCAGGATCCTCAGAAAGGAAGCTTCAGATAGATCCCAGAGCTGCTGACCTCACCTTCTCTGAATGCTCTATCCAGATTCTCCCTAGTCAGCATGTCTGAGACTAGATCAGCTGTGAAAATTCCAAATCTGGTGGATGCATGGGTCAGTGAGGGGAGAGGGTGTCTCCAAGAAGTCCCTGACTGTTTTAGTCTCAAATTTCAGATTTCATCACAGCAGCAATGCCCTTGGCACCTCCTGCTCCCCTCCCCCACCCAGAGCCCTGGCCAGCAACTTTCCACTGCAGGAAACATCTGCTGGGGAGGCCAAGGGTTACTGCAGGACATTGGACAGGACCATCACCCAGATCCTGCTGTAACTTGAAGCATGTGCAGGGCTCTGGCCCTGCCCACCCACCCGCCTGCCTCCCTCCCTCTTGCCTCCCTCCCTCCTGCCACGGTGACTTAACAAAGAGATTGTTTGCTGGCCAACCGAAAGGAGCGGGGTCCGGAAGAAAAAGGGGTGTGTGCAGGGGTGTGGACGACAGCAGGCCCTCTGTGCAGCCGAGTGGGGGCTGCTCTGCCTGGGTGAGGGCTGTGAGTCATAGCCGCCCAAGACTGCCCCGGGTAGAGATTGCACGGTGATAAGACGCGTCACTGTACGGGACAGATCAGGACTGAGGAGCTGGGACTCCCAAGTGCTTCTTTGGAGCTGCCCCTTACTATGAGTCACTCTGTCACCGTGAGTAGCCAGTGGGGATAGACCTCGATCCATCGTGGACCCTTTTCTTCCTGTGAAGTTTGCCTGTGCACTTGGGGCCTTCCCTGCAGACCCCTCCGCTGGTGCTGTGTGCCTGCTGTGTCTGTGAGTTCGAATCTCGGCTGGACTCTTGTGACGATTGGCTGCACTGACTGGGAGGAGGTGCTTGACCACACCCCTCTGGCTGCCTTCAGCCTGAAGACCAGCCAAGAAGGACAAAGCAGACCCCAGCTGTGGGAGACGGGCTGGCTAGCATCTCCCGAGACCTATGCTGGTGACACCTTCTCATTTGTGAGGCTTCTCACTGAGAACACAGCTCTGGGAGAAAAAAAGACATCGGCCAGGGTCACGCAGACCCTCCCTCTAGAAGCTAGAGGTCACCTCTCTGCTTTTGGTCCAAGGTGGGCCACTTGTTTTCATCCCACAGGGAGCTTCAGGAATCAGAGTGCAAGGAGCTGTGCACCATTGGGAAGGGCAGCTGTGGGGAGTAATGGAATCTTTGATGGACTCTGGGGTGCTCTGGAGCCTCCTGCTGGAGCAGGAAAGCCAGTCACTGCGGTGGTACTTAAAGAGGGTTATTGATGAACCTGCAGGTGCTGGACACTGCTGCTGGCGTGGATCTGAGGAAATCCCAGCTGTGAGTGTGTGACCCAATTTCTCTGTGTCTTTGACCATGCTATACATCCTAGCATACTCCATCCTAGCAGGCTCTGCTACCCAACCCTGGAACCAGAAGTCTTTGGCCGTTTTACATAGGTGAGCCATGTCTCACCTGTGGAGATTGATTTAAGAGGGCATAGGGTGAAGGACCAGGGTCCTGGGGTCCCGAGGGCACAGAGCTCTAGGCAAGCATGCCTACAGGCTGAGTCTACACTTTGTGCTCCAGGAGGGAGAGGCTGGCCTGCCATCCAGCGGTAAGGGTGTTTGTGTGTAGGCCTGGAGGAAGAGGTCTTTAGGAGTCCTGCCCTGCCCTCTCCCTGTGGCTACAACTTTGTTTGAAGCAGAGGAGAGGAGCAGCACCCATAGTCTGCTCACTGTTGGGAGACGGGCCAGACTTCTTGCGTCTCCATCGTAGTAGTTGTCTGACTGGATATGAGAGAAACAGAGGGGAGAGGGCAATATGGAAGAAAAACCAGAAACAGGAGGCCGTAGCTGGGCATGGTGGCCTGTGCCTGTAATCCCAGCACTCTGGGAGGCTGAAGTACGAGGATCACAAGTTTGAGCCCAGCTTGGGCAACTTAGAAAGACCCTACCTCAAATTAAAAAAAGGGCTGGGGATGTAGCTTGGTGCAAAGGGCCTGGGTCCAACTTCCAATATCATACCAACCAAAAATAAAAATAAAAAAGAAATGGTAATAGGAGAATGTGCGGGCTTTAGGTAACTCGATGCCTGATATTGAGTTTCACCTGAAGAGAGCGTGGGGCCACCTTGTATGCTGCTCCTCATGGTGACACTGAAATTTTATAAAGAGCCACGAGGAGCATGAATGATGAGCAGGGGCCCAGAGCAGGTAAACACTGTCTTCTGAGAGATTGTGCCCGTTGTGGGGAAGCCCGGTTGTTTCCTTCCTGGTACACAGATAGGGTTCATGTTCTGTGCCCACTGGTAGTCATGTTCTCAGGCACATCGCTGACCTATTGGTGCCTCAGTTTCCTCCAGTGTGAAACAGGTCAGATGGAAAGATGCTTGTGACAGGCTTGTGCTGGCCTTGGCGATCAGGCAGTCAAGCAAGGGTTTCCTCAGAGAGGACTCTGTTCGAAGAGCCCTGTGGACTGGATAACTTGGTACCAGTTTGAAACTAATATAGGGACCAGAGCTCTGTTGTGTCTGAGGTCTTTTCTAGTCGTAGAAGTCATGGGATGGGTGGCCTTCCAAATATTTACCTCCAGAGATCCTGATGCCTGGCTCAGACACATGGCAGGGGATTTTGGAAGTTTAGGATTCTGTGACAGCACAGCATTGTTTTGAGGAAGATAACAGGGCATTTACTATTGTGTGTGGAGCTCATTTTGTAAATAAGATGAGAACAAAATCTTGAAATTCAAATGGACAAAGTGATCGAAAGCACTCTCCTCCCCTCCCTTCCCCTCCCTTCTCCTTTCTCTCTTTGGCAAACCTCCCCACACTAAAGCCCTGCTGTTGTCCAACTTCCTCTTCTCTTTAGTGGTTCAGGTGGGCAGTGCGAGGTGCAGCTGTGATCAGACCTCAGCTTCAGCTTCATGACCCACGCAGCTTTACAGAAAATCCAAATACGAACAGTTGAAGGGCTGTTTCTCACTATCATCCCTGTATGCCAGTGAGTTCCCAAGGAAGTGGGTGAGAAAGTGTGACAGGCCAGGACCCACATGTCACAGGCAGGACGACAGTCTGTCCTCAGGCATGCGCCCCTGGCTGAGAGTCAGCAGCCTTGTTTCTGCTTAAGTAGGTCAGCTCATTGATGAGTGGAGTGCAGATATCTCTCTGTCCCCGTGTGTGCCTCTCCCTGGGTTGTGCTCATTATGTGTCCACCTTGGGTGTCCTTTGTCTATGGACATGTGTCTTTTTTACATTTTTTCTTTTAGTTTTAAGATTGTACTCAGCACTCTGGGAGACTGAGGTGGGAGGATCACAAATTTGAGCCAAGCCTATGCATTTAATAAGACCCAAACTCAAAATCAAAAAAAGAACTGGGGATGTAACTTAGTATGAAGGCCGTGGGTTCAATCCCCAGTAAAACACACACACACACACACACACACACACACACACACACACACACACACACACTAACCTCTGAAAGGGCAGGATTTCTTTCCCTGCTGCTGGCTAATGGAATTTCCAAAGATTTGCTAAGGCAGTCTATGGATCTGAGCCTGTGGCAAGGCCCCATGACAGCAGCAGATGGCATCTGTGGCTCAGGTGGTGGTGGGAGATGGGTACAGGGCCAGGAAGAGAGAGATGTAAAACATGCTGCAGGATCAGATTCTCTGCACTGTTTTTCCATCCCAAGTCCCCTTTCCTCCCCTGGCCTCTTAGGGCTTTGGAGATAACAGAGTTCCTCATGTCTGAGATCTTCCGATGACCACCAGTTGGTGATTGTAGGCCGGGGCTTCTCTCTGCCTGATGAGTTTCCTCTGTGGTACTGTGAGGGTTGGTAGATCATTTTGTAAGGATGAAGAGGTGAGTTGACTGCCTCTTGTGCCAGACATGCTTTTAAATTTTCTACCCCATGTCCTTTTTCTAAGACTGGTTTTGCAATTTGTAAATGAATTTTTGTTTTTTGAACTCAAGTCTTTTACACATAGTCAGGTGCTTACTGTGTTTGACATGACAACTTCTGAGAGGTGCACTAGTCCTCATCCTCTCATTGGTCCTGCTGGGGTTTGTCCCCTCAGGCCCCTGCTTCCCTGTCAGAAACACAGAAGGCAGAGCAGCAGTAGCTAGCATGGTGACTACCAAGAAGTCTCCTGCAGGTGTCAGTCCTTCCTGTCTCTTTTTGGAACCCTTATGGGCCTGGCTTCATATTTTAATGTTTTCTCAGTCAAGGAAGCTGGATACAAAGAGTTCTGCCAGATCAGATTCTCTGTACTGTTTTTCCACCCCAAGCTCCCTTTCCTAACCTGGCCTTCTAGGGTCTGTGGGGTAACAGAGCCTCATCTTTGCCTTTTTAACACACAAGCATATTTGCCTCTGTGCCTGCCTTCCTAATGCCACAGAACCTGGGTACATTTTGCTAACCTTGGTCATTGTCCCACAGGTGTTAAGCCCCACTTATAAGCAGAGAAATGAAGACTTCAGAAAGCTTTTTAAGCAACTTCCAGACACAGAGCGCCTCATTGTTGGTGAGTGAATTGATCTGAGAATTGGGTGGGCAGGATGTCTGCGAGTCCCAGGGACAGAACTCAGGCTGCCTCTTGTAGAAGCAGAGAGCCAAGTCAAGCGCATGGTTTTGTCTGGTAACAGTAAAGAGGATGTCCAGAGCACTGGGCCCACCTCTCAAGGCTCAGGGCTGAGCACTGTGCATATGGCAGCCTCCGGAACCTACCTTGGAGGCAGCCACTTGTCTCTGTAGATGGCCAAAGATTGGAAGGGACTTTGGATCATAAGTTAAGAGAAGAAAGTTAGTTAAATTATATTGGCCTTTTTACACCTAGCTTTTTTGGTCCCTCCTGCTGCATCTCTGGGCAATAGCATCTTTTACCACGTCTCCACTCAGATCGTGAAAGGCCAGGCACTTTCTTGATCACTAGTTCAGGTGTCTCGCACATCTAGGGGAAGGTGACTAGGCTTCACCAGAACTAGTAAGAGAGATGACTTGCCCATAAGCAGTGTCTTGTTTAAAATACTTCCTATCTCTGAGCTTCCCTGTTCTACTTCTTACCCCAGATTACTCATGTGCACTCCAAAGAGACATTCTTCTTCAGGGCCGACTCTACCTCTCGGAAAACTGGATCTGCTTCTATAGCAACATCTTCCGCTGGGAAACTCTGGTAAAGACCTGGGACTCAGGTTGGGGCTGTAGCTCAGTGGTACAGTGTTTGTCTGGCATATGCAAGGTTGCCCTGGGCTTGATCCCCAGTACCCTGCCCTCCTCCCCAAAACCCTGGGACTGGCTCCCTTGGGCTACTTCCTTGGCCATGACTGAGCAACTCCCCCCCCGCCCCACTTTTCTGCCTCTCACTGACTCTGCATTCTCCCCAAGCCTTTGCACAGTAAACAGAAACACACACCTAGGCTGAAGAGTGTCCAATATGAGTCCCGGTAACAGGAACTTATCTGCCACATACTTTCTTCCCACGTTTTGGATGTGGCAGAAAACAGCATTTGCTTTTGGCAAATGCAGTTTATTATTTGGCACAAGTCACCACAGGGGGAGACATAATGAAGTAGAAAGGGCATTGGATTTGGAACTCAGAACTGGCTCACATACTTTCTGGGTTCTTCAGTTAATTAATTGTGTGATTTTAGGTCAGTTCATTCTTTGCCTCTGTTTCCTCGTCTTATAAAATAAGGTAGAGAAAGATCAACTACATGATTTTTTATGGTCCCATCCAGCACTAGTTGTTTCTGTAAGTGGCACAAAACTGCAGGACGTGGCACATTTAGCAGTCTGTAGAAATGAGAAAGAAAGCCTCCTAGACCAGGAATCAAGATAGCCACTACTGTAACAGACTCACAACAGACTATCTTGTTGTGTGGCCTCCGTTACATAAGAGGAGAAAGCATGCTCTCTAAGGCGGCCTCTTCCAGGATTAGAAACACGTGAACTGTGGTCTCCTTCCTCTGTTTGCACTGGTGCTATGTGAGCACTCTTTGCCTGACACTACTAATGCCACCTCTTGCTTGTTGTCCATTCTCTGTCCCTGTGCTGGTGCCAGCTGACAGTCCGTTTGAAAGACATCTGCTCCATGACTAAAGAAAAAACAGCTCGCCTCATTCCCAACGCCATCCAAGTTTGCACTGATTCAGAAAAGGTAAGTGGGTTGGCATTCTGGCCCCTAGGCCCACTCACACTCCAGACTCCTTACTTTGCTTTCCCTGCACCTGTGTTCCTGCCCTTGAATTGCCTTCATCTGGAAGCTGATAGGGCTGGGGTGAGAGGTAAGGGTAGTGTGACTCAAGGAACCACCTCCTGTCTGGGCAGGGAGGTTGGCAGCAGAGCAGGGGTGAGGGTAGCTTGGCAGAACACTGGAACTGGAGCCAGGACACCTTGTAGGCACCTTAGTTAACCTTTCTGAGTCTCAGTTTTCTCATGCGTAAAATGACCCAGCAGTATCTGTTCAGACAGTCTTGAGATACTATCACATATTTGAAAATGCTGAATTGTAAAGCACTATACAAATGTAAGTAGTCATCATTACTTATCAGTGTAGCTGATCATGTCTGAAGAAGATGAGGAGTTTGAGCGGACCTGAATTGTCCTTAACGATATGGGAAGAATGTGAGATATAAAATTTATGACAGGGAAATCTGTGATTGTTGACCTTTGACCTTCAGTAAGAGTCTAAAGACTAATAGATTCAAGACAAGTGGTGGTTTAGGTTTTTGCTGAAGATAATTTCTACAGTTTACATGGATTCAGGCAATTCACAGGCAAGAATCATGCGACTTTGGGGTGAAATAGTCCGTGGTCCATAGTTTGAATTCTGCTTCTGGCACAGTCAGCTTTGTGATCATGCAACTTGCCCAACCTTGCCAGTTTGCTATTCATTGTTAGCAGCTTTGTTTATCATCTAAGGTTTTTTACTTTAAATGAAATAGCACTTGTCAAGCACCTAGCAGGTATGCAGTAAAATCTGGTTTCTCATCCCGACTAATCAATAAGCTCCACAAAAAGTGTTTTTCTGTTTTACTCTTAACATACAGACTAGTACCTAGCAGGTACAGTACAAATTTTCACATACTAGTTGAGTTAAGTAAAATGGTCCTTGGGGGCCGGGGATTTAGCTCAGTGGTCCTGCCACCTGCCTTGCAAGCCCAGGGTCCCTAGTTCAATCCCCGGTACCAAAAAAAATGGCCCTTGGTTTCCTGTTTTTCTGCTTAAGCTCATTCCCAGCTCCCTGACCCAGTTCCAGTACATGGGTGAAAGAATGTTTTTTATGGAGTCGAAAATTGTAAGAGAGAAAACCACTAAACAAAGTATGGGTAGAAAATTGAACGACTCAGTTACAGAGAGAACTCGGGGTCCCAAGTACCTTGGCCTCTTGTGCGCTGAGCCCTGTCATTAAAGTGCCTTCATGGTGACCATGGATCACTGAGAGTACTGAACTTGAGGGTGATGTTGATGTCTTGAATTTTAAAAAAAGAGGACCATATTTTCATTCATTATGTTGTGCGTCTTAACAGATACGTCTGGTCATTTTCTTTCCTGTTCTAGCACTTTTTTACTTCATTTGGGGCCCGGGATAGGACATACATGATGATGTTCCGGCTTTGGCAGAATGCTCTCCTTGAAAAGGTAAGTGTTGCACAGCTGTACCCTTCTGCCTCGGGATATACATCCACCCATGGAGCTCTTTCCACTTGGCTGTTGTCCCCGCTGGAAGATTGCATTTAGAGGAGCTTTGGCTGGCTCCAGAGGAGCCCATACCTCCAATGGTGAGGAAATGCAGCAGTTGGCAGGAGTACATCTTCCCACTGGGAATATCGACCTGAGTCCCGAAAGTAGCATGTCCCTCCACAGTGCCTGGAGTAAGGCTCTTATGACTTCAAGCACACTGGCTCCACTGTTTTGAAATATACAAGGGATTGTTCTAACCAGTTTCGATGAAACATGCAGTCCCAGAAGTGAATGTCATGAAAGAAGGAGTTTTTAGACTCACAGTCGAGAGACACAGCACATCATGCCTGTCCACACAGGGAAGCAGCAGCCATGGTCAGGAGGCAAAGGGAGTGAGGAGGGAGCATGGGCCAGGGAGGGTAAGCTGGTCAGGCACCTTTAGGATTGGCTAGCTTTGAACCATTTCAGCAGGCTTCAGGGTCTAGGGGCTGTCTACCATTGCCCATACCTGGCCTTGTAGTAAAAAGAGCAGAGGAGTTTGGTCAACTACGTAAAAAGGAAACTGGTAGGTAAAGCCTTTGGCTTGGTTATTTGCATATGAGTGAGTTGTTTTGTATCGTTAGGAATTTCCTAACCCTGAGAGGTTCCACCCCATTCAGCAAATCCCCAGACACCACAGCATCAAAAATACAGAAAATAAGAAACTTTAGTTAAGATAGGCACCAATTGCTTACTGGGAAGAAACACCAATGGTGTGTCATGGTGTGTGCCTTCAGAGAGCTCCTGTCAGATGGGAAACTCCCCAAGCCAGAAAAGGAGACATGAGGGAGAAAGTTACGTATAATGATTCCCTTGCGAAATTAGCATATAAACCAGATTGACATGTATATGTATATCTGCCTTGACTGTAGCCCAAACTAATTACTATCTGAAGAAAACTGAATGATTTTTTTTAATTTGGAGTTTCTCCCATGTAAGAGTCTATAGCCCCGGTATAAATCCCAGCGACTTCTTTGAGCTGAGATGCCTTTACTAGCCTTTATTAATAATAAAATGATGATCTGCTTGGGTCTCCACTAGAAGGTTTTAATGTTCAATCCACAACTGCTGTCATTTCTAAATAAGGCACAGAGTCATCCACATGGCTCCAAAATGCCTCACAAATAATAGTTAAGCATTCTACCTGATGATGCGGGCTGGCTAATTGTGTTTGTCCTCATTATGGTCAGACTGGCTGAGCCAGGAAGAATTGGTTAGGGAAAGTGTCACAGAGAAGACACCTCTTAGTGCAGCAGGCTAGGATGTAGTTTGGCAGGAAGCAGGTGTGCCCCAGGCAGGGTGAAAGGTGTCCCAGATGGCCAGATACAGGGAGAGAGAGGTCCAAATAAAGGAGAAGGGAATGTCTCCCTTGGGTGACAGACAGCTGCCACCCCGAAACCCTGCTAATCCAGAGATAGGGTTGCCAACTGCTGTTCGATCCACGTGGTTCTCCTGGGTCAGTAAACAATGCTGGCTCATGGTGCAGCCAACTGCCTGGTTCTTAAACTATACCTTGAAAGCATGGGCTTGGGGAGCTCTCAGATTCTTTACAAAGTATATTGGTACAAAAATTCCTTAAGTTTGATTTTTTTAAAAAATTACTAATTGGTTCTGGTGCCTGTCACACAAGTACAAGGTCCCAAGTTCGATCTTCGGTACCAAAAAAAAAAAGAAAAAAATTACTAATTGTTGTTTTCTCTTAATGCTCTTGCCCTCTTTTTTGCATATTTGTTCCTCTCACCTTCTTCCCTTCCTTCAAGTATGAGGGTCATTTGTGGTCTCCACTTCTGATCTTAGTTCTCCTGACTTTGCTTTGCCTCTCTTGGAAAACTCTGAGAACTGACTTAGGACAGTGCTTTTAAAGTAAGCATGGAGACACCCAGTGGTATAAGAAAACACTGTAACTAGTGCATAGAACTGTAGGCAAACTGACTGCACTTTAGGAAAGAGAAAGCAGTATTCAGGCAATCAAGAGAGGGTTGGATGAGATGACCATTGAGGCCCTTTAGATTGTGAGAGTGTAGGACTCGTTCTAACCACAGGAAGTCTCTGGCTATGGAATGGGCCACTTCTGAGGTCAAACTTGCGGGCCTGTATGGAAGCAGTTAACATGGAAGACTACTTGGTCAGTGGAAGACCAGATCAGGGGGCCTCTGGGTCCATAGATTCCCAAATAGAAGCTGTGAGATCACCTTGACCCCAGTGTAACATGGATTTATTATACTCATTCATAGGAGCACAAGGTGGGAAAATTACCATCCTTAAGAGTCCAGCTGATTCCATTCTGCAAACCTCTCTTGAAGGAATAGGGAAGGAGGGCCACATTCCTGGCTTTGCTGTACTCCGTATTCCTGGGCAGAAGATTCCTGAAGCAGATGAGGTTGTCCTGGAGGTAGCTGCTCACCTCTCATTCAGCAGCTAGGGAGAGGGTACTTTTACTCCTACTCTTGGGGAGCCAGCCTGGCTCAGAGCCTCTGCAGAACAAGGGAGGAAGTTCAGAGCCACTGCTTTTCTCCCCTGCAGCCTCTGTGCCCCAAGGAGCTCTGGCACTTTGTCCACCAGTGTTATGGGAACGAACTGGGCCTGACCAGTGATGACGAGGACTATGTGCCCCCGGATGACGACTTCAACACAATGGGGTGAGTGAGGCTGGGGAAACTCCAGAGTAGGATGCCAGTGAAGGCCTTAGTGGGAATGTGGTATCTAAGCAGGGCCCTGTACTCAAAGAGGTGAGTATTGGGGGAATCTATGGGAAGACCTCTTCAGCAGAGGGAGCAGCCAGCAGGCCTGTGTGGCTTCAGAAGGGAGAAGGGGGACATGGTTGGAGAGGCGGTCAGGGAGGCCGAAGGGGGATGGGCTTTTGATTAACATGATGATTGGCTTTTGCTCAGAGTGGGATGAAAGGTTTGGAGTGGATTGTGGATAAAGTCTCATTTAATATTTTAACAGGATTACACTGCCCTGTGTTGGAAATACACTGAAGGGGAACAAAGGCCAAAGTAGAGAGACCTGTTAAGAGGCTGTTGCGTAATTTAGATAATTTAGGTGAGGGATGGTGGTGATTTGGACCAGGAAGGTAGCAGCAGAGATATCAGTAAGTGTTTCCTGAGTATATTTTCCTGAATATATTTTGAAGGATATGCTGTTAGATCAGAAAGGAATCAACGGTGGTGTTTCGGTTTTACTATCTGGAAAGATAGAGTTATTCCAAATTGAGATGGACAATACTATAGGCAGAACAGTTCTGGGCAGAAGATTAGGAGGCTGATCTTAGGCAAGTGGAGACTGAGATGGTAACTGACCAAGTGGAGAGGTCAAGTGGGCATTTGGGAATTAGTGTGGAGTTCATAGGAAAGTCTGAGCTAGGGCCATAAATTTGGGTACTACTAGTTGATAGCTATGAAATTGGCTGAAGCCTCAGAGTGACTCAGTGAACATGAAAAGAAGTTCAAGGACTTGGGTTTGGCACATGAAAAGAGGAAGAAGCACAACAGAGATCATGAAAGACCATTCCCTGGGTAGGAGGAGCGGGGAGTTAAGGAGAAGAGAGTATCACCATATTGTATAGTGGTAGATTAAGGAAGATGGGGACAACACTTTGACTCACAGAGCATGCTTGAGAGGGAAGGGTAGGCAGAAGCTGAGTGTTAGTGAGAGAGGGTGGAGGAGTTGAAGGCAAGGAAAGAGCATCGAGTGTGTACTTAGATGCTGGCTTGGTGACAAACACCGATATTTCATAGTAGCATCACATAACCTCTGTGAATACCTACATGATTGTCTCTAAAATGCACCTAGTGATTTACTTAGAATTGTACATCCAGGTGATATAGAAAGTACAAGTAAGATGTTGATGCCTTTGGTGACTACAAAGATAATGGTTGCTCCCTTGGGGGAAGGCTGCAGTATACTCCTGGAGTGTCCCTAGAAGAGCATTGACTTCCATTTTAAGGAGATTTTCCCCTAGGTGTACAATGCAGAGAAGTTTATTAGTTAGGATCCAGAGTTTGGGCAGTACCACGTAGGGAGTACTTAGGTCCAGAGTCCTATCTTAGTCAATATTTGGAAACTGAAATGTCTGCTCAGAACACAGACATTTGATTCAAATGACCAAGATGGTATGGATCTGCTGGGAGAAAATAGGGTAAGATGAATAGTGGTTATATTTAGGTAGGGATAAATCTAAAGAGAGTACCTAGAAAAGGTGAGTTTAGAAGCAGAAATTTTACATGGGTGGAGGAAGAGGTGGAAGTGAGGTGTCAGCAATAAGAGGCCAGATTTCTGTTTAGAGGAACATTCTGTAGAAAATAAAGAAGCAGGAAAGCCCATAGTTTTGGATGAATGGACAGTTCTGAGGTTCTTTGACTAGCAAACCATTTTGACCACTAAGACTAACATGGGCTCCTGGTGTCTTTTCCAGCTACTGCGAGGAGATCCCTGTAGAAGAGAATGAAGTAAATGACAGCTCATCTAAAAGCAGCATAGAGACCAAGCCAGATGCCAGCCCACAGCTGCCCAAGAAATCCATCACCAATAGCACTCTGACCTCTACAGGGAGCAGCGAAGCCCCTGTCTCGGTATGGACAGTCAGCCTTAGGCACTCCCTTGACCCAGCTTAGTTTTAACTCCAGGGGAGCCCAACCTGGGGAGCAGTTAGAAGGATGTGGGTTCTTCATGGTCAGTTTATTTAAGGCAGCATCCTGGAGTGAGTTGCTCTCTATACTCCAGTGGTGTGGTCACTGGGTTCAGAGCTGGACTTTTAGTGCCTGGGTTATGCGATTGGTTTAACTTTCAGGAAGATTAAGACTATGCCAAATCCACTGACGAGTTTGGATCTGAGAGGGCTGCTCCAGATGAGCATAGCTATGCATGCATGTAGAACTGTAAAACAGTTCATTTTTTATGCAGCTATTTGATTTTTATTGAGATTCTTTGTAGTTTATTTTCCCACTGTGCTACATTTTAGTGAGGCTACAAAAATATTTGAGGAGACCTCTGTCCTTAGGGACATTATTAGAGACAAGATAGAACCTTGATGAAGAAAGAGAGCCTGGTCATGGCTAGCAGGTAGAAGGGTTGGGGTTTCTCAGAAATGGGAGTGTTGTGTCCAATGGCTAAGGAGTCAGGCCACCTGAGACATCATTCATTCGATGCCTAGTCCTCATTTTCTCTCTCTGAGGTTGTCTTTCAAATGTAAAGGACTGTACCGATTCTCTTCCAGTGGTAAAGGGGAAATGAATCCAGAAAATGCCTGTGACACCTTCCAGGTTTTCTAGAAAGAAATGGTGTTGCCTATAGGCAGGCTGATATTGTCACAGCATGGTGAAAGTGTGATCCAGGCAGAACCTGGACCTGGCGGTGCCACCTCTGTCCACCTGTGGGCTCAGTGTGCCAATTGAATGGGCAGCACAAAGGGTGGCAGCACCTTGTGCTGTGTTCGCTCACCTGCTGCCCCAGCCAGAGTAGCCAGAGCCTAGCACCTAATTCCAGGCTGGCTCCTCAGAGCTGTGTTGGGAATGAGCACTTCCAAGACCCATGCCCTGGTCTCCCTTTGGCAAGTAGGCCCAATCAAGTGGCTCCTGATAGGTGACTCTTCAGTGTCCCCTGCAGTTTGATGGCCTGCCTCTGGAGGAAGAGGTGCTGGAGGGTGACAGATCCCTGGAGAAGGAACTTGCCATTGACAACATCATAGGGGAGAAGATTGAGATCATTCCGCCCGTGAACTCCCCTTCGCTGGACTTTAATGACAATGAGGATATTCCCACTGAGCTCAGTGACTCTTCAGACACCCACGATGAAGGTGAGTGGTTGAATATGGGGCCACAGCATTCCTTCCTGTCTTATTTTGAATGCTTAAAAGAAGCCTCTGTGTGAGGCTGTGCAGTACATAGGTTCCTGATGAAGGGGTGGGTATCAGAGCTTTTTTTTTAAAAGGTACATTTGTTATTTGCATACATCCCTTTTTTAAGTATACACTGCAGGACCTTCATCGTTCTATATTTGTCTTTCCTTGCTCAACCAATAATCCTTTGTCCTGCCATCTCCACTTGCCATAAAATGTATCCTCCTGAGACACTGGCTTGCCTCTTAGACACGCAAGACAAGGCAGTGTTTAATGCCATGAGAAAAGACATCTGTCAGCTGCTCTTTGGAGACAGATTTGAACAGAAACTCCCTTAAAATGATTGTAAAATTTGTTTTAGCTGGGAGTAGAGAGGAAGGTGTTGCTGGGTGAAATGGACTGTGGAGACTCCCCTTCTCCTACTACAAGTAGAGACTCCATTCTTCACTGCTGCACAGTGTTACCATCCAGGGCTCACTCAGGAACCTGCTGCTGCTTATATTCCATGGAGAGAAACCAAAGCCTCTGCATTTATGACATTAGTTGCTGGTTTTCCTCTGTTGAATTGGTGGTAGGTTATTTCTAGTCTAGAATAGGTATAGACACACTCATTTGTTAAATTGTGGACAGTCTATTCTAGAGGTCTCCTGCAGTGGGTTTTTAGCACTTGGTTGCCTTACCGACCCCGTCTAGGATCCAGGATCAGTGCAAATGACTGTGCAGCTTGGGTACTGCCGAACATTAGGATTGTTATTCACGTAAACTAAGACATGAATATCCTCCACTGTGTTTGTATAGTGCCCAATCTGTGCAGTCACAGACACTGTCTCTGTATGATACTTCCATCTCTGGATCGTGGCGGAGCCAGAAATGTCAGCCTCCTTCCTATCTGAGGTCACATCCCAGACCATGCAAGTGGCAGTCATTAGGTACTGTAGGGTGCTCGGGGCTTGGGAGGAACACTGAGACCCAGCAGCTCACCTGTACCCTCAGACACATTCTCTTATAGCAGAAAGAAAATTCTGAAAATTATAAGCGAGAGTCCCTGGTTAGCAGTGCTCTACATATTGGAACATTGTTGTGCCAGGTGGGTATGGCATCCCTGAAGGATGCTTGGCTTTTGGAACCCTCCGGATCGTGCTCTATGTATCTTTCTCTCTGGCGAATTCTGATTTACACTCTTTTGCTGTAATAAAGCTGTAATCTTAAGTTTTTATTTCTAAAGAGGGGTATTGAAATCATGGGGGATATAAGATGTCTTATGTGGTTAGGAGTTTCAGCCCTTGGGGGGCCAGCCCAGACTTAGAAGCTTTTCTCTCATCATTCCTGATTAATTGGCAGCTCCTGAATCCACCTGTGCTAGGGGTCACAGTGCCATTTGTTGTCAATCATGGCTAACTTATAGACTCTCAGGCAATGTCAGGAACTAGTCATTTGTTTGGAGTTGAGTTTGCAGTCATCGTAATTAGGGAGGTTTGAAAGAGTAAAAACAAATACAGTCTTGTGCCCTATAACCACACTGGCTACATACACAAAGGCATTCCCATAAGATATAATGCCTAGTGACATGGAAGCATCTTGGTTTGTGTAAGTAAACTCTGATATCCACACAAAGGTGAAATTGCCTAAATGATTCATTTCTTAGAATGTTTCTGTAATACATTCAGCTGCAGTATATTCTCAGACCCTTTGTAAAGAATGAATGGACAATGTCTGCTAGAGTAAATGGCCTGCATTTCCAGTGAAGAAAAGTGATAGAGGAAAAGTCATAAACGGTGCAGGCCAGGAGGTCAGCTACCCTACCCTACCCTTGGTCTGGGTGGCTGCATTAGCCACAGAGCCCTCAGTGCCCTGGGAATGCCTTCGGGGCCTCCTGACCTCCACCACCACCACTGACTTCCTCTTCCTGTGTCTTCTGTGCAGGGGAGGTGCAGGCCTTCTATGAGGACCTGAGCGGCCGGCAGTACATGAATGAAGTCTTCAACTTCAGTGTGGACAAACTCTATGACCTGCTCTTTACCACCTCACCCTTCCTGCGGGACTTCATGGAGCAGCGGCGCTTCTCTGGTCTGTTCTGCGGGACTGGCCCCTCTCTGACTATCTTTTTCTCCCTTCTCCTTCCTCTTTCCCCACTCTCCCCACACATTCTCCTCTTCCAGGCCACTTAGTGGTCCAGATGCCTCTTGGCCTTGCCTGGTGTGGGAGCTCCCTCAGGGCTGTCTGTCGCTCCTTCCCCCAGTGCAGCATCTTTACTATAGCCTCTGTCACCAGGCCCCACAGACTCAGCAGTCTTGACCTGCCTGATCTCTGCCTTCACGAGGCCCACTATCCAGGCCAGGGCAGCAGCTCCCACTCACTACAAGGTGCTCCCCTGTGCCAAGCATACAGTGTCATCTCATTCAGTCCTCATAACTGCCTGTATGCCGGTCCTGGGGTGCCCAGCACTGATGTTTCAGGAAGCTGAAACCCTGGTTTCTATTAACTGGCCCACATAATGTAACTAGGACCCTGAGGGCTCATACATTGTTTGTCCATGGTCCTGTCTTCTTTCGGCACCCCAGTTCTTGGCCAGCAGGGTCACGGCGCTAATCCAGCAGAACTGGGGAAAAACACAGGGGCAGCAGCGAGCCCTTCTGCTGGGAGAGGGCATGCTAAGGACATGGAGAGGTCATGCCCTGGAGGAGAGGACTCATTCCCAAGGGATCCCAGGCCCTTGCCACAGTAACTCCAGTGTTGCCAGCACCCTCGTAGGTGGCCTCAGGACCTCTTGCCCCAGCCTGGGAACAATCAGCATTCTGGAGCCCCATGTAGAATCTCAGCAATGCTACAATGAACCTCTTTCTGCTTACTCCCTCTCCTGCCCCTCCCCTCCTGGCCCTTGGGCTCCCACTGGCCTCCTGAGGTGGGGGTGCTGGGTTTAGAAGTTGATTGGAAGGAAAATCCAGATGCAGGGAATGGCGCTGCTTTCCCTCCCTCACTTCAGGGGCCCTTTCTTCTCTCAGATATCATCTTCCATCCATGGAAGAAGGAAGAGAATGGGAACCAGAGCCGAGTGATTCTGTACACTATCACCCTTACCAATCCTTTGGCTCCCAAAACTGCCACCGTCAGGGAGACACAGGTGAGTACCAAGAGGTCAGAGGCAGCTAAGAGTGGGCTGGGAAGTTCTGCTCTGGTGTGAAGGACGAAGGCCGAGTGGTCAGAAGGTAGCTGCTGTCTTCTGGGCTTCCCTGTCTTCCCTTCAGCAGTCCTGGAGAAGGGTGGGGAAATTTGAGAAGGTGCTTTTCCCATCTTGCTTTTCTTCAGTTTTGGCCAATAGGCTTTCCCTCCCCACAGACCATGTACAAGGCGAGCCAGGAGAGCGAATGCTATGTGATAGATGCGGAAGTTCTCACCCATGACGTGCCCTACCATGACTACTTCTACACTGTCAATCGCTACACACTCACCCGCGTGGCCCGCAACAAGAGTCGACTCAGGTGCGGGGTTTCGAGGGTCCAAGTGGGTTCAGATGGGATCTTTCTATTAGATCACGTCCCTTTGCTCCTGAGGGAGAGGGAGCTTGGGAATTTGCCTACTGACTCTTGATTTATCTTCTCACAAAATCCTTCCAAGTTCTTCACCTCCCTGTCCTGACAATTCATTTTTCTTTCTACTGCATGTTCCCTTAACCATTCTGTACACCTCTTAGTGAGACCTTTATCACTCCCACTCTATATTAGTTGTCTGTGATTATTTATTCAGTACTATCTAGGTGCCTTCTCTAGATTCATTGGAATCTCTAGAATGACCCCAGAAGGTGGATTTATCATCAGTTTTCAGATAAGTAACTTTGCAAAGAGTCACATCCCCACTAAGTACTGAAACTCAGTTCTTAGAAGCAGAAGCCTATGCTCTTTGCCCCATGCTGAGTGTGTTGTGATTTCCTGTTTGTCTCCCTGTTAGAAGTCCCAGCCCACCCAATGCTTTATTGCCACCTCTTGGCGTATTGCCACCTTCATGTCAGAGTCCAGAGTGTTGCAGGGATGAATACTTAGTTCTGGACACTGTGATATGCATTCACAGGAAGGAGGAAATGTAGACACTGATATTTTAAGAAACCTGTGGTCTAATTGAAAACTCAAGAGAGAAAAGAAAAAGAAAACTCTCGTCACACACCTACTTGAAAATCATCAGATTGTTTATCTGTATTGTAGACCAAGTTCTTCTGGTTATAAGGAGCAAGAAGCTCATTCATGTAATTCAAATAAAATAGGAGTTAAGTGAAGAGTTACACAGAGATCTTGTAGGAAGCAAGAAGAGCTTAATACTTGAACCTAAAGAAAAGCTTGCCTCTTTCTCATCCTCTTAGTTTTTATTTGTTCATTTTTCCTCAGGGATGAGTGTTTTGTGCTGCTCCCTGGTCTTTACAACCTTTCCTTCCCTCAAATTTCTCTTCCTCCTTCCTTCTTGTTTTTTCTCTCTCCTCTCACATCCCCACCAGCGCATGGGTTTCTGAACTCCACACTCCTCAGAGGATCTCCCAGTTGTATGTCTCTCTGTGCAATTCACACAGGCTGGTGGTGGACTTGGCTAGAACTTCCCAGGGATGAGCCCTTGCTCCATCCAGTGAACAGGTGTTGGGTATGAAGCCAGGTGACTCGGTGTGTGGGCATTTCCGCATCAGGCCTAGGTAGGGGTAGCAGCTCTCAGGAGGGGCCAGGCATGGAAGGCAGCCTTGCACACAGGGAACGTGAGCTGGGAGGATCTGTTGGCACACATGCACTCACTGAGGAGGAAGCAAAGAGCAAGGCTGCTGTACAGGTGGGGAGGAGTCCATGCTGCAAGAGGTCTGGGCAATCGCGGGACAAGTGACGAGAAAGAGAATGTCTGGAGAAAAGCAAGTGCTGGTGAGGTTGTGGGTGCAGTGGAGAGGCAGACCCTAGGGCTGGGAGCAGAGGATATTCTTAAAAGTGAGAGTGATGTGATCCCAGAGCTTGACAAGGATTTAAAGGACTTGACCTCCATTCTGAGCCTTCTCTTGTCTGGATGGCAGCAGCCTGGCACCATCTGGAGCCTCCCTGGGCAGAGGCAGTGTGGGATCATGAAACATTTCTGCGCTTGGAATCAGAAGCCCTTGTTAGTCTTTGGTCTGCCCAAATATTCAGAACCTTTGTCTTTTCAATTATAAAATGAGAATAAAGCTAGTGTCTCCTGTGGTCAGGGAGAGAAGATGATATGACAGAGGTGAAGGGAGTTTTGAACTTCTAAAATACAATACAATGCTTGGCTGCCTTGGGCATAAATGTTAATTTCCCTTTTCCCAGCAGTGGAGGGTCTTTCCAGGAAATAAAGATCTTGCTTCTGGCTTGTTCCTCAGGGTCTCCACGGAGCTGCGCTATCGAAAACAGCCCTGGGGGTTAGTGAAAACCTTCATCGAGAAGAACTTCTGGAGTGGGCTGGAGGACTACTTCCGCCACTTAGGTGGGTACTGTAATCCCTGGTGGCTGAGCTGCAGAAACAATGAACTGTGCAGCTGTCCATGCAGGGGAGTGGGAAATGCAGGGGAGTGGGAAATGCAGGGAAGTGGACAGTGAAGGGAGAGACAGACAGTGAAGTGACTTCATGGTCCCTAAGTCTGCCCCCACAATGGATACCAACTTAATATGTAAGCAGATATGTGAATTTTTCAAAAGATTGCCTATAGCCTTAAGAGATAATTAAGATGTGTATAATACCCACCCCCATGCACCTCTAGTGACATTGGTGGTGGTGGTAATTTTTTGAGAGCTGTCTATGAATCACTTGTGAATACATCTATTTCAGAAGTATCTGATATTGTCAAATCTGTATTTGTATCAAATACGTATGTACAGAGGTTGGCACATATGGCTCTACACAATTTTGAACCTGGAGGAGGGGTTTAGCCAGGCTGGGCCCCAGAATAATTTCTACAGGCATTCCCTAAGTGTCATTTGCCCAGCTGGCAAACTTCCTAGGGTACAGAATAGAAAAATTGTTCCTGTAGAACAATTTTCTGGAGGCCACGGTGTTGGGTTGAAGGTATGGGAAGGTGGCCTCTCCTGTGGCCCTTCTGTCTCTGATAGAGATTGAGCTCACCAAAATGGAGAGCACCTACCTGGCTGAGATGCACAGGCAATCTCCCAAGGAGAAGTCCAGCAAGCCCCCAACGGTTCGGAGGAGGAAGCGTCCCCATGCCCACCTTCGGGTGCCTCACCTGGAAGAGGTGATGAGCCCAGTCACCACACCCACTGATGAAGATGTGGGCCACCGGATCAAGCATGTGGCAGGTGTGTTCCAGGTGAAGATGGGTGGTATGGATTGGGGGGCTTTGGTCTGGAGTCATATGCCCATGCCATGGCATATATGCATGCTCATTCTATGCCTTGGGTGTAAGTTTTACATAATTTCAGTGTAACTCACTAATTCTGAGGTTCTTGATGCTCTGTCTACTTTCTTTTGCCCTGTAAGTACCTCAGCCACTGCTGAACCGTTATGTATTCTGCTTAATAAAGGTTCCCTTTGGGGTTCTGTTGTCTAAGCTCTCAGGCTGCCTGCATAGGCTCCAGTATGCAGCATCCATGTTCTTGGGAAATGACACTAAGGAGAAGCCAAAACCCACTTCCCAGGGGATAATTTATAACCCAAAGATTGAGGAGTCTAAAGCAATCCCTAGTCCCTTGGTCCCCTCAAGCCCAGCAGGGGTCTTTCTTCCTCTTCCCATCCAGCCACGCACAGCCTCCTGTCTCATATCAGTCATGGAATTCTGGAGCTACGAGGAGCCCAGAGATTGGCAAATCCATATTTTACAAACCGTGCTCTGCATGTTGCTGTGAGTTCATCAGAGCTGTATCGGGACAAGGAGGAGGCAGATGAAAGGGAGGACAAGGACAGGCTTCTTTGTGCTGCTTCCTCACCTGTACCAGAGCATTACCATTACGTGTTTTACCCACAAAGTTTCTGACTGATGCTACATTTAAGTAAGCTCATGCTCGGAGAGGTTATGTGACTTGCCGGCCACAATGTGGCTGATTCTGGATAAAGCCAGGCTTGGAAACCAGCTGCCTTTAGTCCTAGCCCTGAACCCTTCCTCTTTCTTTAGCCAAAGATCACTTTGTCCCGTGCCGTCTAGCTACTTAGGTCTGTTGAGTTTCTCATTTGTTCACTGATGGCCTGACAGCTGTGCCCTCCTCCCTTGAAGAGTTTGCCTGCTGCTGTTGTAGGGCCGAGAGGGTCAATCGCAGCATTGCCGCTTGAGCAGTGTCAGCAGTTAGTGCACTTGCAGGCCATGATGGTGACCGATGATCTTGTTTATTCTCCCACAGGTTCCACACAGACGAGGCATATCCCCGAGGATGCGCCCAGCGGCTTCCACCTGCAGAGCGTGTCCAAGCTGCTGCTGGTTATCAGCTGTGTGTAAGGACTCTCTCAGCCCACCCCCACCCCACATCTTCCCTTTCCTGTCTGGAGCAGAAAAGTCACCCTCCATCCCTCAGAGTATGCACGCAAGCCCCTTTACACCTTTCCCTTTGCTTTGTTTTTTTTTTTTTTTTTGTCCTCTGGTCCTCTCTGTCTGGATCCATTGCTATCTGTCATTTCTTACCTCTTTTTTTCTTTTTTCTGTTGTAAGCGAGCGCCCCCCGCCCCGCCAAAAATGCCATACACAAGCATCCATGCCCTTCAAGAGCTCAGGATCAAGTGGGTAAGAGAGACAGGACACTTGAAATCCCTATGCAGTAGGATCAATAACACCTCACAGAGATGCTGCAGAGCATCTTAGGGGTCCATTCATTTGCAAGAGACATTTTGGGTGTTGTTCAGTGCCAGGTACTAGAACCATGAACTCACGGAGCCCATGCTTTTCAGTCAGTCGACAAAGCGATGACTATAGTCCAGGACAAATAGGTGCTTATTTTAATGTAAATGATATGTAACTCTACAACATTATAAAACCATAGGTTCAATAATTTTCACAGAACGTTACCAAGCTGGGGAGATGGGAAGTCAAGGAAATAAAGATATAAAATAGAAGGTCACAGCTAGTTCTCTGATAAGAGAACTGATAAGAAGTTCTCTGATAAGTTCATTGGGGGTGCTTTCCCAAACTTTTGCAAACCATATTGAGTAGGAGGCAGCTAGGACAGCTAAGGACAGCTCTTCTGCTTGGTTCAGCCTGCTGCCTGACATCTTCCCTCTTCTTTGGATGGGGGTGGCATGAGTTGCTGGGAGGCACAGCAGCTACCCAGACATGGATTCTCCCTGCTGCATACCAGGCCTCTGCCATCTGTCGTCCAATCCTGCTTCTATGACCTCCCAGTCCTCCTTGAAGCTTTTGCAGAGAGGCAGAGCCAGGGGCCAAGAGGGTCAATCTGCCTCTCAGGTAACTTTGGAAGAGGCCCACAAGTGACACGGTCAGACTTGCATTGTGGCAGTATTGCAAATGGACTGGAGAAAAAAGACTGGAGGCAGGGAGGTCAGTCAGAGCTAATCACAGTGGTCTCAGTGAGAGTGGCTGTCAGCTGGAGTGGGGGACTAGAACTGAGGGGTCTCAGAAGGGGAAGACTCATTAACCATCTGGTTATGCCACAAAGGAAGGTGAGCTACTGATCTGAGGTACCACAGATGGCTGTGTCATTAACTGAAACCTGGAATGTAGTGGAAAGTTGTTAGAAAAGACACCGTCAGCTCCAGGAGTGTCTTAATTGCTGCAGGTTTGAAGGGGGTAGGTATTTCTTGATGTGGACCTGTTACTTAGGAGCCACACTACTAATCCACAGCAGTAAAGCCATGGATGTGAATGGACTAGTGTACAGAGTATGACAGAGATGGGGCCAGAGAAAACCCTGGAGATTCCTTACAGAGAAAATCCTGGGAGGAACAAGAAGAATCTTACTAACCTAACTTGAAAGCATAACATAAAAGTAGATGGGAATTTTTCCTGACTATTGCATAAGAAACCAAGCCATTACAGTATTACAACAGTAATAAGTACAAAGACAGCTATAAAATCAGTAAGACTCATTTTGCAACAGCAATTTAATGTGCTGTGTGGCATTGTTCTGTTAAAACTACAGCTGATATTGGATCTTTTGATAAATAGAAAACTTTAACTTCAGGTCAGTGCTGTGTTTAAGCTCTCTGCATTTTGATTTAAGTAGAAATGTGCCCCCACCTCCCACGGAGTGAGTCTTGTAGCACAGTGTCAGCTACCCTTGGGGCTTTGTTAGTTTAGGATAAGCAGACCTTCCAGTTTGGCAACCAGACCCAGGCTGTGCCAACAGATGGACACGGCACAGTTTGGCCAGTGTCCGGCAGGCTCTCGCCACCATCCACCTGCAGAGCGGTGACTCCACCACGCACTTCTTTTCTCTGTCAGAGTCCTTCCTGTCACAGCACCCAGAGGTGTCCCTTGACCCCCTCTAGCACAGTGAGGATTGTAAACACGAACCCAGATTCGGGCACAATGTGCTAAAGAGGTGGGCATTCCAATCATTCGCTGTGTGTGGAGTTCAATATCACTGAAGTTCAACACAAACTTCAGAGAAGTGCTTGTGGAGAACTCAGAGAAAAGCCCAGGGATTCGTGGCTGGCAGATGAAGCAAGACTCCCTTCTACAGAAACACAAACAAAAAGTCACTCTCATACATAGACTTTGAAAAGTCTAAGGATCAGTAAAAGCTTTCTTCCCCTTTACTCGTATTTTTTTCCCAGCTGTTTGTTTCACCTCCCTGTTTTTGTCACCTTCTTCCTTCCTATGTGTATCTACCTCCACTCTGCGGCTGGCTTACTCCACACCAGAATGTTTTACATCTGTTCTTCCTCATCCACAGAGCAGCCCCAGTAGGGTAGGGATTATGTTCTTATTGAGAAAACTGGATTTCAAAGAAGCTGGGAAACTTGATCAAAAGTTAAGAAATTAAGTGGCGAGCCTGGATTTGTGCCAGTTTTGTGTGTCTGGATCCTCTCTGTACCATGGTATTTCTCCATCCCACACCTACTTTAATTCTCTACTTTCCAGTGGGTCCTCCTTGTTCTTCCCTGTGTCCAATACATTCTGACCCAGACTCTGGGAGCCTTCAGCTGGTCCCCATGACCTCTGGTAGACAGGAGCAGGTGCAGGGAAGGGCTTTGCAGCTTTAGGGGAGTTCTTCCAGCACCCAGAAGGCCCGTGCCCGCAGAGCTGGGGATCCTGCTGAGTCTTCCTTCCTAACATCGAGTTGACCAGAAAATCTCCATGAAACCCTAAGAGTTAATCCCCTTCACTTCCTTTTGCTCCTTCCTTGCTGGGTCTCCTCATTCATCGTGTCTTCCCTTTTAGTATGTCTTTCTTATTTGCTCATTTCCTCTCTGGCTCAATTTAAGTGCAGTTATCCCCTTTCCTATATTCTCGTTTCTAACCTCTGCCTCCTCCCCATTTTTCTTCCTTGCTCCCATTAGGATCTGTTTCAGGTACTGGCTCTGTTCTATGCCCTTATCGTGTTTCATCTCCACTTACCTCCTTTGCTCAGGCACCCAGATTTCAGGTGTCTGTGCATCTCCACTTTCAGTGCCTTTACCCCACACTCCTCTCCATGGCTCTTCTGCTGTGTCCTGGCTCCTCTGGGAGATTAGGCTGCTTTCTCTCTGCCTCTTCCTTCATCCCTTCAGCTCACTCATTCCCTCACTGCAATGCTTCCAATGGCCCACTGGGCAGGCATAGCAGCCTGGGGGGTGGGGAGGTCCCTGGCTCAGATTCTATCTCATTGCTGCTGCTTTTTTTCCTGCATTTCTCTCCTAGTCTGGTGCTGCTGGTCATCCTTAACATGATGCTCTTCTACAAGCTCTGGATGTTAGAATACACCACCCAGACCCTCACTGCTTGGCAGGGTCTGAGGCTCCAAGAAAGGTAATCCTGGCCACAACCCTATACCTGTATCACACTCACCTCTGTCCCACCAAGTGCTGAGCCCTGGCTTCTGCCTCCCCTGGGACTGCCCCACCACCCTTGCCCAGGGGACAGCCCTTTGGATGAGCTCTTAGGCAAGCTCCAAAAGTCTGTCCCAATAGTTCCCATCCACTTCTTATTTGGGCATGGGAGTCCCAGGGCAGTGGGCAGAGGACAAAGCACTCTGATGCGACTCTCTGTCCTTTAGGGGTCTGGGAGCACAGGACAGTCTGCTGAGCATAACTCCAGCTGCTGGGGTGCCCCTTCTTCTGCCCCACAGGTTACCCCAGTCTCAGACAGAATGGGCCCAGCTCTTAGAGTCCCAACAAAAGTACCACGATACTGAGCTCCAAAAGTGGAGGGAGATCATCAAATCCTCAGTGATGCTCCTTGACCAGGTGAGATGCTCCGTCCTCTCAGCCTCCCCTAGTTTTCAGGAGATGAGGTACCCCTTAAACTCCGAGAAAGGCCACTGTCTCTATCACCACCCTCTCCTGAAGTCCTCCTTCCACACATTCTTCTCCCAGGCAATCCATTGTTCTAATTTTGAACCCATTTTTGAATGAGCTGTTAGAAGCACAGGTGCATTCCTTAAAATAATGACAACAGTACATTAGGTTTACAGCAGAAAGGCTGTAGTCTCTCTCTCCCTCTCTGTCTCTCTCTCCCTCCTGTAGTCACCCTTAAAGGCAGCTCACTGAGTAGATGACTATATTATGTCATTTTATAGTATCATCTTTGTAGTATAGTTGCCTGTAGTTGCCTGTTCTCTTCTAAAAGCCTCATTTAAGAAAATTTCCTGGGGCAAAGAAATCAGTAATTAGGGCAGGGGATTTAGCTCAGTGGTTTCACCACCTGCTGCGCAAGCGCAAGGACCTGAGTTCGATCCCCGGTACCAAAAAAAAAAAAAAAAAGAAAGAAAGCAGTAATTAGCTCAGTTTCCTTGAGGAAGAGAGCTTTCTTCTTTCCTCTAGAAAAATGGAATATCTTATAAAAAGTGCCCCTATATGATTGCCAAGGCCATGGGAAATTCTTTTCCTATGCAAAATAATTGAGTCCTAGAATTTGTCCCCCCACATTAAAATTTCTGTTCCTAAAGAAGTGCCATCCAGATGTTGTCTGGTTAGCTAGAACTGAGATAGAGTCCCAACTTTGCTACTAAATAATTTTGTGGTCTTGAGGAGGAATGTAATATTACTGAGCTTCAGTTTCCTCATTTATAAAATGGGAATTGTGGTCATAGCTTCATGGAACAAGAGTCAGAATTGAAGGCACTCATTTATTTCTACCTTCATAGTTTGATTTTTAGCTGTAAATTCGAGAGAGTCTTAATGCAGTTTGAAAGACCTAATATCATGTTCAGCTTTTTTTTTTTTTTTGGAGCTACTTTTAAGGCAGGCATTTTTTATTTGCTTGTTTTTGAAATAGTCTCTCTTTATAGTTCAGGCTGGACTTGGACTCACTATGTAGTGTAGATTGGCCTCAAAATCAAAGCAATCCTCTTGTCTTAGCCTCCTGAGTGCTGGAGCCACCATTGCTGGCCCAAGGAGGTCATGTTTGTAACCAAAAGAAGGTAAACAGCACAGCAAGGAGTTGGATGTCCCCTTATACTAAGAAAGTTGATGGAGAAGGGCACACTGGGGCAAATCTAAAGGATGGTTCCAGATATCGAGGCCAACAGGTGAAGAAGGCTTAGATTTCTTGCAGAACTCTAGGGGACTGAACTAGGGCTAAAAGTTAAGTTAAAATTTTAAGCCAGCCATTAAAAACAAATGCCTTATGGTTAGAGGTATGCAGCAACAAAACAGCCACTTTGGAGAACTAAGATTCCCACACCGAAAGTGTTGAGAATCATAAGATGATACTGAATAAGAAACTTGCAAATTAAAGGAGGGGTGCTTTGGGTGAATGCCCTAAAGGTCTCTTCCAACTCTTGAGTTCGGTCTTAAGGTGGGTCCCCTTCATTAGGGGCTTAGGGCAGTTGGGTTTTCAGCCTGATGGACTCTGCCCTACAAGATTTGAGAGGTGTTTACTTCTCTTTAAAAATAACTTTAAAAAGACCAGTAAAGAATGTGGGGAATTTGGAGAGAGACCAGGTCAGATATTCCCAGAACCCACAGCCTTTACATGAAATGTTGTCCTGTGTTATAACAGAGCGGCTTACTCAGAGACAGTATTTAAATATGCTGTGGTATGATGGGCCTTTTTATGATTCTCTCACTGAAACAGTTCCACTTAGACTCCATCCCATGGCCAAAAAATGTTAATTCGCGGTCCCAGTGAGAAGCCTGCACAGCTGCCTGTGCAGCAATCATGGCTATGTTAGGGATGTTTCAGTCCCCACACACTTTAAAACAAAAGAGCTGAAGATGACTGCAGTCCAGAGCACTGGTGGGTCTTTACAGAGGGTGAGATTTGAGCAAGCAACAGTGGTGATTCCCAGGCTGAGAGCAGGGTGACAAAATGCATAAAGACAGGCAGACAGTGTTTACAGAATGAACGGGAAACCAGACTGATTTTATGGGTCAAGTAAGTAGCAGTCTACTGTGGTTCCTTATGGCACCCAAATGCATAGAGTTCTGAATTCATTCATAAAAGGGTCCCAGATCACCAAGAGAGCGACTCTCATGAAGGGTTTCCAGTGCTGGCTCTGCTGTCCCTTTTCTACCTGAGACTGTGCCCCTGGGAACCACCCTGGCTTCCTTTTGCTCAGTGGCATGGTCAGATCCTGCCACTGAAGCAGAATGAGGCAGGTGCTGCTATGGGGAGAAGCCCACTGAGAGGACAAACCTGGCCTGGGGCGGGGTTCCCTGTCTTACAGATGAAAGACTCGCTCAACAATCTTCAAAATGGCATCAGGTCCCGTGACTACACATCGGAAAATGACGAGAAGAGGAATCGCTATCACTGACAAGGCAGGAACAGAGGTGGCTGCAGGAGGCCTGTGCAATACGTGTACATAGACCCTATAAATATCTATAAATATATATATACAGAATATAAATATATATATATTATATACAGATTTTAAAAAGAGATAATGCCTACATACCAGGGAGAAGGAGCGGGACCTCCCGCCCCTGTGCTGGCTGGAGCAGTGTTTCCCCTGGGTTAAGGGGCCGAGGAGGGCAGGGAGTACCTCTCAGCACCGACATCCCCTGATCCTCCTCCTCCCATCCTCTATTCCTCACCCTTTCCCTTGCTGGCCGTTCTTGGCTCCCAGAAGGGAAATGTTGCTGAGCCAAAGCTATGCCTGGGAAGACCCTCAGGTCTTGAAAGGAGTCTCAAGAGGGCATTGCTTAAGGTGCTTCATTCCCTAATCCCCTTTCAGTTTGTTTCCAGAATAAAAGAGAATCTGTTCTTCCCTACCCCATGCTTCCCGAGGCATTCTCTGGGACACAGAAGCATCAATGGCTGATCTCAACTCCCCCCTAGGAGGCCAGTGATTTGGACTGTGCCGAGAGCCAGGAGGGGAAGGCTGGGAGAAGCTAGTGAGGCGGTTTCGGTGAGCTTGGGCTTTGGAGCTGCAGGCTCCTGAGCACTTGTGTTCTGGAAGGTTTCTCCTCGGTCACCCCTGCACCTTGCTTTGACATGGGTAGGATGTGGACCCAATAAGGGCTAGGAATTTCTAACTTGCCCACCCTCTTTCTCTCTGGTCTTTGCTCAGGCTGGATCTGGGCGAAGTGTCACTTTTTAGTGCCTAAAGTCCTATTGTTTTTCTGTGCCCTAAGAGCACATTGTTTATTAGCCAGGGTGGAGCATTTTTGACCTTGTTAACCCCTTTTTGTGGTTATGAACAAGTCAGATCTGTGGCTCTAATTCCTTCAGTTTAAGCTATGAGTTTGATTTCCAGGGTGAATCAGGGTGTCTCAGGCCCTCCAGGGTTTAAGAGGAGGAGAGGTCTCTGGCCAGTGTGCATAGCAGGCTCTGCCTCAGAACCAGCTTCAGTCAGTGGAAACAACTGTCTGAGACACTTTGTATGTGGAAGAACATCTGAGCCAGTGGAGAGGAGGATTTGGTATAGATGTGTGTGTTTGGGCAGAAAATGACCAGATGGGATCTTTGCCCCAAAGTGCCCATTTCATTGCTGACTCTCTCAAGTTGGGGCATGGGGAGTCTGTTATAGGGTTGTACACACCCTTCTCAGACATCTGCTCCAGAGAGGTGTGAGGTTACTGAGGAATAGAAAGAAGATGCTGGGTAGAGGTGGGAGCCAGCCTGGGCTTTTCAAAGTTGGCCTGCTGGGACCCACGGTTTTATCCCATCTCACAGGGCCCTTCTGGGCATGTTCACTGTCCTTCTCACATTGCCCTTTCTCCATATGCTGACCAAAGGAGGCCTGCAAGCCCCAGGCAGAGGTCAGGAGATCTGTGATCAGTAAAGACAAAGAGAACTGTATGAGCCTGCTCTGTCTCCTAGGTTCTGGATGCAAGGGGTAGAAGAGAACCCCAGGTTGTCCCAGAACAGGAGCCCAAAGGATGGAAGATTTTATCAGTGACCTACCCTGATGATGAGAAAGTTATATTCTTTCCTTAGGATGTCCTTAACATCCCATTTTGGAAGTTAAAGAAAAGCTTTTGACTTTTCAGTCTATCCAAGAATAAGGCCTTGGCATTTCTCTACAAGCAGAATCAGAAAACAAAAGGATGTCATCTCTGAGACAGAACAATGAGAAGTCTGTCATTAATTGGTTGGTCAGCCAGCACTGATACCCATTCCCTGAGAAGCAGAAGTGAGGCACTGGCCCAGGGTAATGCTTTCGAAGGGCACATTTGCCTCACACCAGTGGTCATCTCTCAGTTCTTGTCCAGGGCTTTGAGGAAGACACTGGTGAAGGTTGAGGCCCATGAGCCCTGAGCCAAGGAAGGAAGCGTGGTACAGACTGCTAGACTGCTAGACTGCTAGACATTTCCCCTTTGGAGTAGCCCGAAGCCAAAAGTATTCCCTGAAACTTTTGAGAGCAGAAATTGTAAATTCTCAGATCTATCCCATACATAATTATTTATTCAAGTTTCTTAATTATGAAAGTTGTCATGGACCCTTTTAGAAGACATAGAAGAGGTTGGTTGCCAGGAGTAAAGTGACAGAAGTAGCCTTGGGCACTGAGAGGTGGCGGTGTCACTCCCCTCTCAGGACCACTGGGTGGAGCAATAGGTAAGAGCGAGGGGTACTTGTCCAAGGCACCCTCCTGTTTCCTGCTAATTTGCGCCCATGAGACAATGTGTTCATGTGGAGAATGTCCCCTAAGAATCATGGATCTCTTGAGAGCTCTCTGTTCTATTAATTGTTTTGGCTTTTAAGCCAGAAGACCAACAACTCTATTCATTCCCAAGCAAAGTATGATTCCCCTTACTCAATAACTTGTGAAGGAGAAAGAAACTCACCCTTATGGACAAGTCTGGGAGTGAGACAGAAACATGGCATTGTGATCCTTGGCTAGTAGCCTGGCATGTAGCTGTCTGCAAAAAAGCGTCAAAGCCACTGCTTCTTGTGTTACTTCTCCAAGCCAGTACGTTTTATTTTTGTTGACATGGAAACACTGGGACCACATGGATGTTTATCTGTGAGGATTCATGTAGTAACACACATAAGACTTTGCACTTAATTCTAAGGAATTCACAGTTTCTAACCAGGGGAAGCATAACGACAGGGTCTACCTTCCCCTCCAGCTTACCGTGGAGTAGCTGACCAGATTGTCCTCGGAAAAGCCACTCATGTCTGCAACTCTCCCCGTTCCCTGTCTGCCTCCCCAGGACAAGGGGCCAACATCTCAGGCCAGCAAGATCAGTGACTCAGAAAGAGCACTGAACCAAAAGTCAGGAGACTGGGTCTGAGTCATTCCCCATCACAGAGCCTCAGTACATGCCTGTCACAGGAGGAGGCTAAGGGAGACCATCTCTAGGGCAGGCTCTAGCTTTGGCTTTGACTTTGTATTAGGCCAGAGCCTGCAAGACTGGGCTTTGTCAGAACTGGAAGGTCCTCTGCCAGGATGGAATAGTCTGCCAGGCTAGAGCTTCTCTGCTGTATAGTAGGCAGTAGGCCACTGTGTGGATTCCCAAGAAACCTAAGCTAGTTAGACTTTGTTCTTAGGGTTGAGGAGGGATAGAAAGGCCCAGTGTTAGAGAGAATGTTGCTCAGTATTAACCTAGGAGTGTTTGTTCCTTCTTTGGCTTAGTTTTTGTTTGGGAAGGGAACTTCTGCTAAGCTAGAAGGAAGAGAATGATGGTAAGAAGAGCAGCATCTTGGACTGAGCCTATCTTCCATCTGTAGGCACTGTGAAGCCTTTCATCTATCTATTCTTGCTCCTCATTGACAGAGGGCACAGTGGAGAGAAGCCCTTTCTGGTTTAGCACTTTTTTTTTGCTCAACCAAAACCCTGCTGGGGTTTAGAGAAAGTCCTTGGATGGCCCAAGGGCACTGGCACTAAGAACCTGGGATTACAAGGAGTAGGGACGATCAAGAGCCCTTAAGAGGAACTCTTTGCTAGAAGTGGATTCTCTCCATGTCCCATCCCTGTCCCCACACTTGGACTGTACCTATGGTATTTGCAGGCAGCATCTCTAAGATGAGATCTTGGAGAAATGACTAGAGGCAGAATCTTTCTGGACTGTTTGTGGTCCCAGAAAGGTCCTTTCTGTGCCATATGATACCACTTCTTTGGCTCTGCAGGGTAGCCAAAGCCAGCCCATTCCTGCTAGGGCCCCCAGGAGAAGTAGCACTCTCCTCTCTTCCCCTCCATGGCAGGGCTGTGGTCTCCCTCTTAGAACTCCTGGACCCCACCTCTCCACTGCAGTAAGAATTGCAAAGGCCTCTCCCTGACCCCTTTCCTCCCCATCCCTAGTCTGTAGACTGTGGGACAATCATCCCTTGACATTCTAGATCCTTCCTCACCCAATCTCCAGCAGGCTGGCCCCACTCCCTCTCACCTCTGTGTCTTCTTCCAGAAGATGCATTTTGGGTCTACAAGGAGTATATTTCTGGAAGGCCATCTTTCAACACCCCTGCTTTCCTGATGTGGAGCAGGAATTTGCACATGGTGTAGAGAGCTCCCCTTCCCACCTCTCTGCCCAGCCTTGTTACCTCACTCCTGCTCCGGCCATGGCTGTGATGGGCCCAGCCAGCTCCCTGTTTTGATGTTCTGTGCAACAGCTCAGGGGTCTTGAGACTCGAGGTCCTCAGCAGGCCTGGGAGTCCAGATTGGAAGCTTTGGCTCCTGGTGAGAAGCACCTTGCCTGCCAAGATTTGTTGATGCCAGATGATCTCCCCAACATATGAAGGCTTGAAGGACTTTGTCATCTCTGCCCCCTGGCCCTCCTTGCTTCTCTCAACACAATAAGACATTGCAGAAGCAAAATGGCAGTGCATGCCTCAGGCAGGACAGCTGGCTTTGTCTGGGCAGTTGGCCCTGGGCTTGGTTGCCATGTGCAGAGACTGCACAGTAAAAGTAACCATTTTTGCCAACAAAAGAATGTGGCTCCCCACATTTTCTTGCCCAGCACTCTAGGGCCAGACCACTCTCTGCATGGACCAGACCATCTTCCCAAACCCATGGTGCTTCCCCCCACCCCTCAACTTAGGCTCCAAGGTGGGGAGGGATGGATCAGAGGCCATATCAGGCCCTACATAATCCTGACATGGGTTGGAGTGGGTGAGGCAGAGGGAACAGCCCCCAACACCTGAACTGGGCCATATATACAGGAAAGAACACAGGTCTATTGCAGTTGAGTTGTCTGGCCGTCTGTATTTGGATCTGTAACTGTACTTTGCCTGGCGCTGTGCGCAAGGTCTGAAAACTTACTGCTAGTACCTAGAAACATACAAGGCTACCCAGCCAAATCTTAATGTAAAGTAGCTAGAGCCATGGAAGTACAGTATGAATTAAAAGAAAAAAGTATTGAATTACAAATAATGGTGTGTGTGTTTATTGCTTTGACTCCTCAGAGCTCATCATCCCACGTTTCTGGTCTTCTCAGATATGCTCACAGCAAGTCATCTACATCAGGCCAGGGAGGATAAGTTTTGGGCTCAGACCTGAGTTCAAGTTGCATCGTCACTGTTTACCAGCATTGTGGCCTTGGGCCCCACCTGCCAGTCCAATCCGCAGTGTTTTAGAGATAATGTAAATGTTTTTTAAAAGTACACATATATAGTATGGTGGCAGGTCCTTCACGGAGACAACTTTAAATTTCCCTATCACAACAGGAGTTGTGGTACACTGAATCCTGAGTTTCTTGTACTTTTCCCTTTCATGATCTGGCATTTCCAGGACAATGGACATGGGAGACATGGCCTCATGTTGACTAAAGTGGTAGAGGTGAGGGCCAGTGTGTGTTCCCTCCTTATTAGATCTTCCTTGCAGTTAACTACTCACCACCTGGCTAGGAAACTTGCTCAACATCAGGCAAGAACACAAGTTTCTCTTGTATCCTTTTGTATTTGAGTAGGAGAGCAAAGGAGAAAGGAAAAGGTAGACCACACATTTAGTGTACATTTCATTCTAGACTATAAAGCATGTTTTCCATTCTCTGGGTACATCCACTGATTGGGTATAGGGAGTGATGCAGTTTGGGGTGCTAGGTGGAAGCCATAGTCTATGTAGCTGATACACTCAGTAGAGCAAAATGAGCCAGTGGTTTTTAGAGATACTTTATTGACATGAACTGGGAATTTACTGAAAAACATTACATACAGGCATTAGGCTGATGTGGTGAGGTGTTGGATGATCAGGAACAACATTATTACTGTGGAAAATCAAGAAAATGCAATGTGACGGTGACAGTGTTCCATCTGTCACAAGTCTAAGCGTTTGCTAATTGAGTTTGGTGGAATTTCATTCCACAAACTTATAAGCACAAGTTCTCAGAGTTTTCCCTCCCTTTATACATACTGCCCAAGTGTTGCAGCTCCAGCCCCATGGTGTCAGGGAGAAAGGACAGAGCGGTACTGGTGCTGAGGTGTAGCTGGCCTACGAAGAGGTGGACTCTGAACTATAGTAAACTCAAATAGGAGGAAGTGGGCTGATCTAAACAATAGGTGTCTACCACATTAGCTTTTAGAAGTTCAGGCTTGAATGAAGCTGTTTTTCAGACTTAAGACCATGGGGCCCGGTGAGTGGTTGACCTGGTGGGTGTTGAAAAATGTTTGCAGGGTGAATGATCAGATTGATGAGCAAGCACATCAAGTACTATTCAGATAGACACATTTGCTGTGACTGGGTAAATTCACTGAGTTAGGGCTTTCTCATTTACAAAAAGGTGAGGGGAAGGCTTCCCCCCCTCCTCCCATTATCTGTTTTTCCATTTTCATGTGAAATTGAGAAAAGGGAAAGAAGATATATTTGAAGTGTTATCAGTTTTGTTTTTGTTTTGGGTTTTTTTGGTCTTCTTTTTGAGACAGGGTCTCACTATGTAGTTTAGTCTGGCCTTGAAGTCACTATGTAGCTGAGGCTGGCCTTGAACTCATGGCAGATCTTCTGCCTCAGCCTCCTGAGTACTGGGATTACAGGTATGCGCCACCATGCCCAGCACACCTCTTATCTCTCTTTCTTCCTGCAAAGATGCAATCACACAGCCTTTCCCCTCTGGTTTATGTTAAGTGAATCCACAGATTCTAAGAAAAGTCTAGTGTGTGTGTGATGGAGCCTCACTATCCAGGTTGGTCTCATACTCATGGGCTCAAGAGGTCCACCTGTTTCAGTAGCTGGGACTACAGGCACATGCCATCATGACCAGTTCGTATTTTGATTTTTGATGTAGTAGTTTTGGAGGGAGAAGAGGGCATTACAGTCTCCTTTAAAACCATTCACTACACGTTTCCCAGCATATTCCTGCTTTGGAAAATTCCTTTCCTGCTAATATTTCTGGTTTGACATCTAAGGAGCAAACAGAGACTCAGAAGAAGGTCTGGATGTGCAGATGTTTGAGGATGGAAAAACCAAAGGATAATGCTGTTCAACAGACCATGGAAAATGAAGGCTGGATAAGAACAGGCACTGGTTTTCCAAGTATTTCCACACAGGTGTGGGTTTTGCTGCAAGACTGAGTTGACAGTAAAGGTCAAAAGGGCACGGTGCTTTCAGGACCAATTGAGTTGAGTGATCAAGTTCATGGCTGTTAAGCAGTAAGATAGGGAAAATCAGACTCAGCATAGCTTGGCCTATAGTAAATTGTATTACTGAGGATCGGATCAGTCATGGGAAATATGCAGCACCAAGATAACAGATGGGGTTTCTAAAGTGATTATAGCCCTTGAGAACTCTTCTAAGCCCTTTAATAAGCAACAGCACACCAGATAAAGCTTCCAATGCTACACATATTTAGCCCGGGTCTTATACAGGAATATGGGGAGAAACAAGGTGGGTGGGGATTTTAAGTAAGCTGGTGATCACAGTACCTTGTACATTTATAGTCATGATCAAGCCTCCCAGCAAGGAGTTTAATTGCATTTCCAGAGAAATAATGACAAACCGACTAGAAAGAGAACCAGAATGGGATGCAGTCAACACACATTTCTAGCATCCACCAAGAAGCAAAAGGGTAGAGAAGGAAGAGAGTGGGATCACGGCTGAAAGAGGATGGTGAAATCAGGACATCAAAATAAGCAAAGAGTTGGATGGAAGTCAAGAAAGGAAGCAGATATGGTCTATGTGGGAAGATAACTGGAATAGGAGTCAGAAGACCCAGATTCCACGTCTCCAGTGATCAGGTAAGTGACCTGGTAATTTGATAAAAGCTTTAAAAGTTTCTTCATTGAGTGTTAATAACACTTCACTGGAGCAGTTGAGATGAAATCAAATAATTGAAATGAAAATCCTTTGCAAGCCACATAGCTATAATGAAAACATTAAAGACGAGAAGAGATGAAAAGTTAGAAAAAGGAAAAACAGAGAAGACACTCATAAAGGATAAATGACCAATATCATTCAACTTCATTAAAAATAACTCAGAAAACATCTGAGTTAGGTTATTTAAAAAGAAAAGAGCAAAAGGCAGCCATGCCTGTGGCTGAGTAAGCCTCCTACTAACTCAGGCCTATTTTCATTAAACTCAGAAAAATGTCCCACATCTCCCCTATTTCAAAAGGACAGTGCAGAAAATTACCAATAAGAGCCTTGAATTTATTGCAAATATTTTCAAGAAAATGGGATTCTTTAAAATGTGTTAAGGGTCTTGTTTTAAATATGTCCCAAGAGATGGAAGAGACAAGGAAAAATGAACCTGTCAGGTGAAGTCCAAAGCCAACAGAGGTCTTCCCTATACATTTCCCCAGATCTGAGGAGGATTCCTTTTATTGAATCCTAGTCACTTTTTATCTTCCTAACTACTTTCACATATCACTAGGTGCTAAAGGATATTGTACCTGGGCCAGTCACCAAATTAAAATGAAAATAAAATGTTGACCAAGATTTTTTCATTGTTTCTCTGCGCACTTTAAACTTGGGGAATAAAACAAACCACTCTGAACATTACAGATTCATAGGTGAGGTATTTGGAGCCACTATCTTTCCCCTAACACTCTGCTCACCACCTATTTCAGACTAAAAAACCTTACTTTCCTTTTCTTTGTCTCTTCCACTGGGGATTGAACCTGAGTCCTTCACACTGAGCTACATCTCTAGCCATTTTTTTTTTTTAAATTTTCATAAAGGGTCTCTTTGTGTTGCTAAATTGCCGAGGCTGGGCTCAAACTCATGATCCTCCTGCTTCAGCCTCTCAGATTGTAAGCATGTGCCAACATGCCCATTTTAAAAGGCATTTCTCTTAATTTGAATATCCTTCTCAGATGTGATCTCATTCTGAAAGATATTTCAGGTTCACATATTTTTGCGGGTTTTTTGTTTGTTTGTTTGTTTGTTTGTTTGTTTGTTATCGGGGATCCAACTCAGGACCTTGCGCTTGCAAGGCAGGCACGGTGCCACTGAGCTAAATCACCCAGCCCAGGTTCACACATTTTTGTAGGAAATTCTTCGAGTCTATCTCATGTCCTCATCTCTGCTTTTTTGGCCGGTTTCTAGTTTCTGCGATCTATCATAGCTAACCCCAGGTAGATCATCCACCCCAAGTTTGTGCTACTACAAGAGGCGTGGCTACAGCCAAGCTCAATGTCAGAGTCTTTTCAGATGCAAAACTGTCTATCCCAGGGAGTAAACTGGGCAGCACCCAAAGCTTATCACTGCTCCCTTTTGTCTCTTAAGTTTCTTATCCGGTTGAGCTCCAAGTGAATCTCAGTTGCCTCCTGTAAAATGAGGAATAATACTGATCCACAGATGTTTTGAGAGGAAGAATTTAGGAATTCCAGTCCCAATCCACAGGCGATATACTCTCTAGGAAGGGCACACATCCATCATCCCAATAAGATCAGTAATATGTTGTATGGCTTTTTTTGAGCCATTTAAATTGCCCTTGGTCCTTCCCAAGTTTCTTGCACTTGGATTCTTAGTACTGTGTTTAGTACAGGCCTCAGAGACCTACGGGAATCTAGCTCTGAGTACTAAGCTCCAGAGAGTATTTTAGTCCATGCTTAAGGATCTTTGTTACTGGAGAAATCTAGAGAGGCATGCTTCTCTCTGGTGTTCTACCCAAGTGGGCCAGGAACTTGAAAAAACTGACTTCAAAGAGTAAATACATGACATGCTTTTGCTTTGACCCAACTAATTGCTTGTTCCTACCAGTAAGACAGTCTCTTGCAGCAATGGAGAATGAGCCAGTTCCAGCCAGCTAGGGGCAGAGGGAGGTGCTACTTCCAGCACTTGTACAAAGTTATTTGGAGCACAGGGGAGAAATCCAGTAGGAGTGGGAGCTGCTTGCCGGAAAGCCAGGCCAGGGTGAGGTTGAATCTGTATAGAAATGCTGGCTCCTTTGTTCTGGCAAAGATAGTGTGTAGAGTTCTGACAGAGTTAGGAAGTCAGCAGGGAAAGCTCAGAGGTGGGTGGATGAATGATGAATGAGTAGAAAGATGGATGCAGGAAGGAAGTGATGGGGCCGCTGGGGCACCCTCCTGATGCTGCCGGCATCACTGAACCTGAGATAGCCAGTCTCTCAGTGTTCAGGCCACCTACCAATGATAAAACAGTCACTGAGAAATTCAGCCCAGCCCAGCCCAGCCCAGCCCACCCCAGTCCAGAAACACTTTTATCAGAAGAGGGCACGAGAGAGCATTACTATGCCCTTGTTACCACGGGCAAGAAGTTTAGGTTGCTACTGCACTCAAGCCAAAGCCATTCACTTTTTGAAGAGCCTGGCAACATACAGAGCTTTGTGACTTGGGCATCAACTTAAAGTACTCACTCTGAGGGTGGGCACACCGGGCAGAGGAGAAACTGATCTAAGGGACCAAATTTAAAGTCCCTTCAGTTGTAGATGACAAAGTCATTCTTGCAACCTGCCATCCACATCCCTCTTCCCCTCCCAAGTCCATATACATCACCTCAAGTCACACTGCTTCATTCCTCCACAGGTACTGCAGAGTTCTCCTTGTTCTCGGATGGGATGGCAAGGTAGTCAGACCTAGACACGATGTGGGAGAGGAACAGACCCAGTGCTTCATCACCCAGCAGAAGGAACACAAGGAAAGGCAGGAGCAGGGCACAGGGACAGGCTGACAACAGAAGAGCTCTGTGTTTCCTTCTGGTTGTAGGTCCCAAGACAAAAGTAGGACAGCCCTTTCAGAGGGCTAAAATAACATGCCTCTCCCATACCTGTATATGAACACCCCCACCCCAGCTCATGAGGTGTGTCATTTACTTACATCATTTTCAGGAGTACTAACTATCGTCAGATTAAAATACAAGCCAAATATCGAAATTATATTTTATAGTTGCTTTAATTTTCACTTTCTGAAAAGTGAAAACTTTTCATATGTTAATAGGCTACTTGAGTTTCTCTCTGTAATTTGCCTATGTGCTGTTCCAGTTTTTATTCTTCAATATTTGTCATTGTGTCATTGATTTTTCGATAGTTTCACATCTTGAAAATTTCTTCCAGCCTGTTGTTTATAAATTTTTGTATGCTGTCTTATAATGAACAATTGATTTTTGCATTTAATGTAATGAAAATGATTGTCTTTTTCTCTTTGAATTGTACCTTTTATATTTTAAGAAATTCTCTCTAGTCCCAAATAATAACATACTCATCTTCCTTTAATAGAATTTTTAAGTTTTACTTTTTCTTTGTCTTTAAATTTACTCACAATTTATTTTTGTTTAGTGTGAGTGATGAAGAATCTCATTTTGTTTTTCTATATGGATAAGGAATTTTCCATCCAGCACTTACTGGACAGTTAATTCTTTCTCTAATGATGGTAATGCACCCACTTTCCCACATTAGGTTTTCTTTCACACATTAATGTGTCGGGGGCCCTCTGTTTTGTTCTGTTTGTCCATTTTGTACCCTTACATCAGTATCACAAACTCTTAACGCTGAGAGCTCTATGAGAGAGCTTCATCTCTGATAACATGAACCCTACTAGCCACCTTCTCACTTACTGTTATTTCTTTGAGATAGTGCAGGTGAAGGACTGGCAAAGGATGGGCCATATGCTAAGAATAACTGTTATGTGTTTAAAGTGTTGCAAACATGCAAAACAAAAGAACAATGTGGGCAGAGACTACAGGACGCTTTGCAAAGCCTAAAATATTTACTAGCTAGTTGTCCTTTGGTTTAGAAACTATTTTTGGTCCTTGGGCCTTCTATGTGATCTTTAAGATCAGTTTATCAGACTGGGCATGATGATCCATGATGACTCATCCCTGTAATTCCAGCACTCTGGGAGGCTGAGGCAGGAAGACTGGAAATTCAAGTACAGCCTTGGACAACATAGTGAGACCCTGTCTAAAAATTAAAACAAACAAACAAGAAAGTACAAAACAGGGCTAGGGATGTAGCTTACTGTGAAGGCCCTGGGTTTAATCCCTAGTACTCCAAAAAGAAAAAAGTAAGCAGTTTATCAAATATCTAAAAAAATGTAATGGGGATTTTGATTGAAATTTCATTGAATTTGAAGATGAACTTGAGAGAGAATTATTTAGAATAGTGAGATATTTTTCTTCATTTATTTGCTTTTTCTTATGTCTTCTATAAAGTTTTATAATTTTCTCCTTGAAAGGTGCTATACATTTTTGTCAGATTTGTTTTAAGGTACTAGAAAATATTTATTGCTGTTGTATTAATATTTTAAATTATTTAAATGTTTCTAAATAATGTTGTTGAACTATGTGATTTCTATACAGTCATATGTTGCTCTATAACAAGGACATGTTCTGAGAAATGTATCATTAGCTGATTTTGTCTCTGTGATCACCATAGAATGTAATTATGCAAATTAAAAGATGGCAATGGCTATGAAATTACTCAATGTAATAATTTTATGGGACCTCCATGGTATATGTGGTATGTTATTGACCAAAATACATGTATGTGGCATGTGACTGAATTTTGATTTGTATCAGCAATTTACGGGATATTCTTACTAGTTCTAATAGTTTACTTACAGATAGTCCTGGTTATTCTGTATGGACAATTATAAGAGTAACTAATGATAATTTCTTCCTTTTCAAATAATATCCTTTTTCTTCTTTGTACTTATTTGGCATACTATCTAGGATCTCCAATACAATACTGAATTGAAGCAGGGAGAGATGGTATCCTTGATATGTTTCTAATATTACAGGCCTTTTTTCCAAAGATCGTATTTGCTGTATGCTATCTCAGTACCTGTCATTTATAGGTTTGAAGGTAGTTAGTGTTGAGCATATGTGCTGCCGAAGTGAGCACAGTAGTTGGTGTTTAGATTTACTTATCGTACTCAGGACATATAGTGCTCCCTGACTTATGATGGGTTTACACCTTCATTGAAAATGTCGTAAGTGGAGAACACATTTAATATGCCTCACCTACCAAACACCATCGCTTAGCAACATAGCATACTGTGCCTAGATCTCAGGCCTGACTGGACACCGAGGCTCATGTGGCTGACCAGCGTTGGGAGAGAGAATGCTACATATTGCTAATTTGGAGAAAAAACATCGAAGTTCAAAATCTGAAATAGTTTTTACTGAATTTATACAGTAAGCCCCTGACTTATGAACATTCGAGTTACAAACTTTCACAGATATGAATGGACCTTGCATTATGAACATTCATAGCTGTGAACAAATCGTGGAAGTAGCTCATGTATCTGCTGGACACTGTTACAGCCGTGCTGCTGTGTGCTTACTGCACAATGTGTAGCGTACAGTAGTACAGTGCTCAATCAGAGCCCAGGATGTCGGGAAGCAAGCGGAAAAGCAGTGGTGATGTGGAGGGGACTGCTAGGGAGTGCAAAGCAGTAACCATGGAAACAAAAGTAAAAATAGTGGAGAGACTGGACCAAGGTGAAAAGATGGTAGATGTCACTCCACCATCTTCCACCTCCACTCCCTCCTCCAGTTAGTAACTCTTTTCTTATCAGTTCACTCCATGCAGTCCCCTGGATGCCATTGCTGTGCTGTACTGTACTAGTTTTTAAGGTAAGGTAACTGTAATAGTGAAAATAGTTCATTTATAGTATTTTTGTGTGGTTTTTTAAAGCTTTGCATTGTATATTTGTGTCAAAAGTGTATAAGACTATTGGACTTATGAACGATCTCCTCGAAAGGAACTCATTTGTAAGTCAGGGACTTACTGTATTGGTTTCATACCCTCAGTAAGTTTTTTTTTTTTTTTTTTGGTACCAGGGATCGAACTCGGGTCCTTGCGCTTGCACAGCAGGCAGCGAAACCACTGAGCTAAATCCCTGGCCCAGTAAGTTAAAAACAAATGAGGCAAGTCATCATAAACAGGGGACCATATGCATGTGCTTCTTGAATTTCCCAGTCACTCTGTGAACACAAGTATTGTTACTCTGTTCAAATGGGCCGCATCATTTTTTCCCTTCATGTTTCTTGGTTGTACTTCATCTTTTATATCTCTGTGCTTCATTTTGTATAATTTCCTCACATTTACATTCTGGTTACCAGTATCTAATCTTTTGTTAAACCAATTCATTAAGCTATTTTATTGGATATATTTTTTATTTACCAAATTTTTTGTTTCTATTCAAATTTGCCTGTTCTTTGTTCTTAGCACTTACTCTATTCTTATGCTTTGGATTTTTTATTGCTTTAATTATTTTTAAACAAATGTATTTTCTAGACTTTATTAGGTCCTCCTTGTGTCTGAAACCCCTGGCACTTACTCCTGCATTTGTTACTTTTCTTGCTTATGCTGGGTTGTTTCCTACAGTGACTTTTAGTTTTAGACTGAATTGTGCAATTAGATCCAGCAGTAATTAATCTGGGGAGTACTGTCAGGCTTTGGCTGAAAGCATGTGCCTTCAGAATGGTTTTTCATTTGTTTTTGTAAGACACTCTGGTTATCACATCTGGGGCCTAATTATTAATTGAATGTCTTAGCTGAGAGTTTCCTTGATTATGTGAGTAGTATCAATTTAAATCTCAAACGCTGTGAGAGCAGGCTTGAGGTTAGTGAGTCTCAAGAATCTTTTCTTCTCCTACTTGAAGTCAGGCCAGCATGAATAAATTTCCTTGTGCTGGCGGGCTGGTTGATTCTGGTCTACCCTTTGTGTGAGTGGTAGCTCTCTGGAGACTGGCTCTGCTGAGGGCCTTTGTTTGAACTCTCTTTCTTGTAGGGGCCCAATCATAGGTACTTCCTGTGCAAGCCTTGGTACTTCCTGTCCAAGCATGAGCATTTCTGGTTGAAGAACTAAAATACAACCAAGTCACCAGCAATTACAACTTTCCTCAGCATGACAGTTCTATCTATCCTTATACATGGTTAATTATAATTTTTAATTCCCTGAGAGCACAGACATCATACAAAATGAAGTTTTCTTTATTTTATCAAACTTTTCCAGGTAGCAGGAGCACAGCCTTTTTAGGTTAGTGCCTCAGCAATGTTGCTAGAAATGTGCTGGGTCCTTTTCTTCATTTTCTTTTTCTTTCTCTTTCTTCTTCTTCTCAAACAACAGGCTGGTCTCTCAGGCCCCCTGCTCTTATATAGACCCCATCACTTCTCACATGTACTCACTCTTGAGTATCTAGGGTCTTGGTGAAAGTGGTGAAGGTACAGCTAGACATTAGATTAGAATCCCTATTTTGAGTATTCAATTGCTACCTTGTTCTAGGGGAAGGAACATATTTCTTAGCGTCCTTTAGCTAATAAAGGGCAGTGCCCAGATCAACTCATAAACTCCATGGTGTAGAGCAAACAGCTGCCTGTGACAGAAAGAACAGGGGCATTTGGAATAGGGAGGCCTTGGTTTAAATCCTAGTTTCTCCACTCACTATGTATCTGGCCTCAGCAAACTACAAAACTTCTATGAGCCTACTTTAACATTGATAAAATGTTTACAATAATGCTAACTTTATGGTGTGGTGCTGGCAGCTGATGGTCTTTGCCTTAGTGATTAAGTATGTAGGCCATGAGTTAGCAGACCTGAATTCAAACCTCAGTTTGCCTCCTACAGTGGCCTCCTACAGTGGCAAACTCTTCCAGACTTAGTATTTTATCCATAAAATGGGTATAATAATAGTGTTTACCTCATTAGTTGTTAAAAGGAGGAAGGTGGAGGATATATATAGATTTCTTAACACCTCACCTGTGAGAGCAAGCATTCAGAAGATGGTAGCTGTAATTATTATCTTTGGACTTACGCATTTTCTTGGGCTGCCTCTTCAGCCTTTGAGACCTTTCTGTAGCAATATATCATCTCAATGAGCAGCCACAAAGTGAGGAAGACTAGGAGGATGTACATCATGATTTCTGAGACCACAGAGGTGAAGTCTTCTCCAGCTGCAAGGAGGAGAATGAGGTTCAGAATGTACTTCCCACAAGCCAAAGCTGTTATTGGGGCCATAGATATATATGAAGCCCTTTTTAAGTATAGCTTAAACAAACACTGAGACTAAAGGAACTCAAGAAGATGTCAAAGAAACTATGTGCTGTATCCTCTATCTCTCCTGACTATCAGCTTTCTCAGACTTTCATTGGCTGTTAGAGACAGGATAAAGGAAAATGATAGGTAGAAGAAGAAATAGTAGAATCCTGGACTCAGAGTGACAGAGACAGATAGATCCCAATTGTGCTATTTACTGGTATATAAACAGTCACTGTTCTTATTTGAGTCTCAGCATTCACTGTAATTCATACCAGGCAGGGTTGTTGTGAATGTCACATTAGATAGTGCATTTAAGAATATCTTGTACGGTGGCCAGGGATTTAGCTCAGTGGTTCCGGCACCTGCCTCACAAGCACAAGGTCCTGAGTTTGAACCCCGGTACCAAAAAATAAAAAGAATATCTTGTACCGGATGGTGGTAAAGCTCAGTGATAGAGCACTATCCTGGCATGTATAAGGCTCTGAGTTCAATCCCCAGCATCAGCAAATAATAATAATAATAAAATATCAATCATAAAATAATAATATATAGCATAATAATTAATTACATTATATATAATTATATTATTATCTTATGAGATGTAAAAGTCTACAGAGAGGTAAGGAACACACCTTCTAACCCTCTATGACCTCTGAGATAGAGGTGGTGTTCCCAGGGAGAGAACATTGGAAATTGCATGCATGGACACCCAGTCAACCCACCTAATGATAGGAGCATGTTCTCTACAAGTCTGGATAAGAAATGAGGCCTTAAATTAATTTTTTTAAAAAAAGAAGAAATGAGGCCTTCCAGGTCATCACAAACCCAAGCAGGAATGAGTACTGGGATTCAGTGTGCAAGGGGTGATTGAAAAACACAGTATGTTTAAATTTTAAAAATTACAGTAGAAGACATATTGCCATTAATGCTCCTCAAAACCACCACCACCACCGCCCCAGTTGCCACTTGGAACACACATATCCCATTGTTCTGACCACTTTCTGAAGCAGTTCTGGAAGTCCTCTTTTGTGAGTGTCTTACGAGGAATGATAAAAAATACAGTCATTGCTACTTCTGAGTGACATCCCACGCCAAGGCAGGCTTACAAAAACATTACAATATGTCCTTATCTACCTTATTCACCAGATCTGGCAATGTGCAACTTCTAGTTTTTCCCCAAAAGCCAGGAAAGGCACACAGTTTGAATCAATTCAGGACATCAATGTAGCCATGACAACTCCACTAAAGACACTCATCAAAAAAGACTTCCAAAATGCTTCAGAAAGTAGCAAGAATGATAGGACAAGTGTGCTTGAAGCAAGGGAGAGTATTTTGAGGGAGATTAATGGCAATGTGTCTTTCATAGTAGTAGATTTTTAAAAAGCATTCACCGTATTTTTCAATCACACCTCATATTAACCAGACTATCCTCAGAATTCTACTTCTGAAACACAGATAGGATTCTGCTCCTTCTGAAAATCCATCAGTGTTCCATGCTGCTCCATGAAAAAGCCCAAACTCCACTGCCATGGCCTGCAAGGACTCTCACTTCCACCTCATTTGGTTGGCCAGAACCCATATATACTGCAATATATCAGAATCTGTGGAAGTTTCTTCCTCCCCTTCCCTCTTCCTACATTGTATCTCCTACCTGCTGCTACCTCTGTCCCGGAAACTTCTGCTTTTCAGCCTCCCAAGGGCTTTCCTAAACTCTACTGAGGTCCCTTTCATTGTGAAACCTTGCTCAGAGTCTCAGGCAGTTATTATATCCTTACCCATGCCTGTTTTCCTCTGCCCACTGTAAGAAAGCTCAGGTTAAATTGTGGCATATTTCTTTTTTCTACCAACTGTGTGCTTATTAAGCTCATACTTATTTTTCAATTATCAACCTACTGTCTCATCTTGGAATATTTGAATTATTCAGTATTTGTTGAATGAGTGAATATAAATAAATATTGATCTTCTCTGTTTCGTGAGGAAGAAAAATGACAATTAATAAAACATAATGCATGGCAAATATCCTGATATTATATATAATTCTTCCTAGAGGGAGGAAAGTTGTGGCACCCTCTCCCCTTGCCAGCTCCCAGCAAATCAGATTCATGGTCTGCAGTTACCTACAGGGCCCGAGTCATCCCCAAGGCCTTGTTTGTTGAAAGTACAGCAATGACCTTTGGCCATGACTTTCAGTTCAGAGAAGCAGTTCAAGGCCTCCAGGATCACCCAAGCTTCCTAAATGGAGGTGGAAGTCATAGACGTAATATGAGGTATATAACAGTGCCACAGCCCTCATATATCTTGCCATGGGCTTGTACTGCCCAATACATTATTTATATGTTTGGCTTACAGCATTCTATCTTCACTTAGCTGCAGTAGCCCAGAAGTAATAACAAAGAAAGCTACCCTCAGTATTCATAGTCACCTCTGGCGAAGAGGCCCCAGGTTCCTTAGAGAGAGGAGGTGAGAACCTAAGCCAAGAAAACTCCACCTGGAACAAAGAGAACCAGGGCCACAGGAATGGGTGGGACATGTCATGGTGAAGTTATGTACAGCTCCAACTAACATGAGGGCAGTAGCTGGTGAGGCTGGCACAGAGGCAAAAGGAAAAAGGAAGAGAAAAAGTGGCAGGGGGTGGGGATGGAGGTAGAAGGAGAGATGTGCAGAGAATAGGGTTCACCTAATAAGCAAACTGGTCCTGCTTCATGTCCCTAAGCAAACACCTCACTGCTGCAGAGCTCAGATTTCTTAGCCACAAAACAAGGGCACAAGAACTGCACCTTCTAAGTACCCGAGGGGTTCATTTCCACTGACACATACCAGGACTGACCCCAGACGTACTAACTCATACCTAAGGCCTGCTCTGGTGCCCAGTGGGCGGACTAGCTCAGCTTTGTCACACTTTTCCACCAGCTGTGCCCCCTCCCCCTGAGGTGTCTCTGGAGGCCAAAGCCTGAGAGAGCAGGAAGTGGAGACAAGCACCTTCCTAGGATCTGGTAAGCACTAGCCAACAGTTCCTGGTGGTGAACAGGAGGGGGCGCCAAGCTCCCCTCCCTGGGGAGGAAAAGGTGTAAACAGAAGAGAATGGAACTTTTGAGTAGATGCATCCCTTAGAGAGCTACCCATTCAACTCCTGCTTTTCACACAAGAGGAAACAGGGTCAGAGAGGGGAAGTAATTCATCAGGTCTTGATTCAGATGGCCCAAGTGTTCTGCACCTTCATGATGGACCTACTCTCTGCTTTAGTTATATGTCTCTTTCTCTGTCACTCAGTCTCAATACCTAGCAATCTATACTTCATTGTTTTATCATAGTGACATGACACAAACTCACCATGTAGTCTAGAGGTTAAAATTCCTAGATCTTTATTCTAGGAAAAGCCCTATCTTTACCTTGACCTCTTCTTTCATGGCCCGCACCACTGGGCTGCTCACCATCCTGCATCTCAGCGCAATGAAAATGTTAAGACTATGCTGGAAACAGACCGTATAAGAAAGGCTAAGCCAAATGGCATCATTGTTCAGCCTGGGTGAGAACACATAAAGGGAGATGCACATGTTACACACATGAAGCATCATTAATATGGGGCTAGGAGCAGCAGGTCTCTGAGACCACTGGCAGCAACATAAAAGCAATGTGCGAGTACCAGTGCCTTCCAAGTCTCCCTTCAAGACTTGGGACTCAGATTGCAAGAGAAACATTGAGTTAAGTTGCTGAGAGAATGTCCATGCATTAACAAAGAACCAGCTGAAGGAGTCTGAAGACTTTAAAGACAACGAGGCTAAAAGTCTGTCCCCTTCTCCCAGCTGAGAATGGATTTATGTAGAGATGCCACAGATGGGGAAGGGGTTGCATGTATGATTATTGTGAAGAAAGACAAAGACAAAAAGCTTATCAAATGTTGGTTCAGAGTTCCCAAAGTGGGGTCCCAACCGTATCAGCATCCCCTGGTGATTTACTAGACAATGCAAATTCTATGGTATCAGAAAATCTTGTGTTCCAGAAAGCCCCACAGGATATGTATTTGCGATATGTATTGGTTACAGACAGGAGAGATGACTTCTAAATAATAACAGAAGACTTCTCTGAACTGAGTGAGGGATTCAATACAGGCCAGAGGAAAAAGTTTCAGTGAATCAGTAGGTGTCGGCTTTGTGAGACCAGGAATAGGTCATTCTGCTGTCATTGCTAAGCTTTTCTGCTTTAAGTAAAGGCCCCAAAAGGCAAGGTGGTCAAGCAGTTTGCAGGAAACTGGCTGCTGGAAAAAGGTGGGTCCAAATACATGGGTTTTGCATCTTCCAAGTGTCCCACATATCCTCCACCCCACACCCCTAAAAAGCAGAATACCCGAGAGATCCTGTGCCTAGGCCTCACCCTCTTCAGTGACTCGGAGAGGGATCAGCCGTGTGGTCTTCACAAAGGGTCGATGCGCCTCAAACTCAAACTCCCGGGACACGTTGCAGGTGTAGAGGCCAGAGTCATTCAGAGTGACATTGAGCACAGTGATGGACACATCTTGCAGGTCCTTGCTCCCATTCCACTGCAGGCGTCCCTGGAAGGGGCTCTCTACCTCCTGGTGGCCATTGCGATACTCGAAGATCTGCAGGTAGAAGAGCAGAAGCAGGTAGAACCAGGAGAGGACAGAAAGGAGGAGATGGACAAGGAAGCCAGAAGACCCAGAATAGCAGAGTGAGAGGAAGAGGTGCACAGGTCAGGAAAGACAGCCAAGATGGAAAAATGGACAAAGGCCAACAGGCATGAAGATATGGAGATACAGAAAGAGAAGAGGAGGAAAGAGGCAGACAGGAAGAAATTTGAGAGGAGGAAAGAGTGCAAAGAGTAGAAAGAGTGGGAACAAAGGAGAGCAGACCAAGAGGGGAAAATGAGGGAAAGAAAGACTGGTAAGGAGACAGCAGGGGAGTAGAGGGGAGAAAGAAAGCTGCCGGGAAGAGAACAGGAAAGGCAGTTTCTTTAGCAATGACGACACCTGACAGCTGTGTCCTTACACCCTGACTCTCTGAGCTGGTGCCCATCAGGGTCTAGGGGCCAGCCTGTGCTGAGCCATGGGAAGGGAGTCCAGGTTGCTGGATCAGAAAGCTGCCAACTGAGAGGTACATGGCAGGGCGTTAGATCTGGGTTGAATCAGAACTGAAACCTGGTCTCTTAAATTTCTTTGCTCAGACACTTCTACCCTCTGACATGACACACTTTGTTTTCCCTCTACAGCTGTGCTGTTCAGTCTACTAGTCACATGGGGCTACTTCAATTCCAATTCAAATTCCTAGAAGTTAAATGCAAACTTCAGTTCCTCAGTTGCATCTTCTCTTCAGTTTGGACAGACCTGGAAGGAGTGCAGGCAGCTGGTACATGAATGACCATGTCTGAGGCCCATGGGTCCCTGCACATCTGACTAAGACATACAGGTTCCTGCAAGCTGGGCAGGAGCCTCAGTTCAGCTTCACTGACGTGTCACTATCAAGCCTCAGCCAGCCTCTGGGAAGTCTCTGCTGGTCCTCATCTTGGCATCTGATTGAAACCAACCTAAATTAAAATGCCACATATAACCTAGAGTTAGAAATGAGTTCAGCTTTAGGGATCTAAAAGGAAGAGGAAGCACTATTCAATTTTAATTGTTGTTGTCTCTATGAAAACTCTTTGTGGAGGAGAAACATCCTCCAAGGGAGGCAAGGTGGAGCTGTAAAAGAGGCCTGGATCTGCTGTCAGACAACCTAGCTCAAATCTAAGCTATTACTAACTTAACCTCTTTGAACCTCAGTTCTATCTATCTATCCATCCATCTATCTGTCTCTATCTCTCTTCTAGCAAACACTTACCACAGTGTTTATTTTATTCCAGGAACTATTTTAAATGCAATAAAAATAAGAACCCAGGGTCCTGGTAACAACCCTACAACCCTGTAGTTTATGCCCTCATTTTATGATGAGGAAATTGAAGCACAAGAGGTGGGACAATATGTTTAAGGACACAGAGCCCAACAGTGGAGCAAAGGCTCAACCCCAGGCAGCCTGACTCCAGAGTCAGTGTCAATAATGGTCATCTCCAAAGTGGTTTTCTAAATATATAACAACATTGGCACTGGCACAAACCAACCAGAACCGACAGTGACCATGGCCCAGGTGCCGAGTCTCCTTGCTCTACCAGGAGCAAATCTCTAGTTTCCAGACCCTGGAAAGGTCTGGGGATTCCTAGCAGGAAGGATGGTGGCATGGCTACTTGGGAGACAGGGCACAGCAAGTCTCCATTATATAACCAGCTAAACAGTTCACCCACAGTCATGGCTGTGCTGGATATGTGAATTGAGTATCAATCTGGTTCCTCCCTGTCATTCTTATTTTGCTGGGATTATGAGCTGAAAGAGCTAACCTGTGCTATTTCATATAACGACACTTCACGTAATTTCAATTTCTCCACTAATTTAACCCATCTCATAGGATGGTGTGGAGGACGAAAGGAATGCAAAACACCCAGTCAGGTGCCTAGTCCTAGTCCTCAGTGGGCTCTATGCACAGCCACTTTTTTTTTTTTTTTTTGTACCAGGGATCAAACTTGAGACCTTGCGCTTGTGAGGCAGGTGGTGGAACCACTGGGCTAAATCCCTGGCCCCATGGCCACTTCTTTGTCTTCCTTCCCCTACTTGTAACCAGGGCTGCCTATAGCTGGCCATGTACCCTCCCCTGCACAGAAGCTGGGCTAAACTAGGGCTGTTAGTTATCTACTAAGGAACTGTCAGTGCCTGCAAGAGAAAGAGCCATTGTGTGCTAGGATATCATCCCCCAGACTGTCAGAAGCCAGACACTCAGCAGCACAGGCTAAAGAAAGGCCAGATCCAGTAGTGTGACATACAAGGAAGTCTTTACCGCCCTCGGGCCTGTAGAACCATTCCACCACAGTGGTGGCTTCCACCTCCTCCCTCTTCATGCAGGAGATGCAGCGCAGCTTCATGGAGTTGCCCTGGACGGCCTCTGTCTCCGAGGGCACTTCCACACACACAGGGAAGCAGACGCTGACTGGAGAGGGATAAGGGTCAGGGGAGGGACAGCAGGCAGTGTGAATAGGGGCAAACCACAGGGAAGGAGGGAGAGAAAACAGAGAAGGAAGAACTGTGAGACAACCTGGAAATAGACATGTCCATGTGTCGACACCCTCATCTACGTTTCCCAAGCGTACATGCTAAAAGCAGGTACACAGCAAGATGGAGGAAATGTGGATGACCTAGCACTGACCGAAACCTTCTCCTGGAAGCAGTGCAGTTGCAGCACAAGACAGACTCGAGTCCCACTCTTCTAGTCTTAGTCTAGATGGGAGGCAAGGCATGCATCTACCTATCATCTTTCAACACACATTCACTGAAATCCACTCTATGCCAGGTGCAATGCTAGACTGGAGACACAAAAATGAAGAGAACACTAACCACGACCCCGGGGCATTTATAACCGAGCAGTAGACATTTATCTAACTATGATTAAACTAGACCTCAGAGGGTGCTAAACTAGTGATATCTCTGTTCCCAAAGAGGCATGGTTAGTTACTCCTGATTGGACCTAGGAGAAAGGAATAGAATGCTGCTGAGACATGAGCCAAGAAAGGCAGACAGGACCCATGCCAGGCCAGCCTCTGTGTGTCCTTCACAGCCTCAGGTGCCCAGTGCTCTGAAGCCATGGAGAAATATAGGCATAGCTGGGTTTCATGGAAATACGGGAGATTCTGATGCTTGGTAGAGGTAGCAGTGAGGGAAATGGTGAGCTGATCCTCATGATGAAGCAAGACTTGATACAGAGTAAGGAGAGACAAATTTAAACATCTGGAGAGGTCAGACTGTGGAACACCTTGCCTGTGATATGGAGGTTTGGACTCACACTTCCTGCCTTCTAGAATCTCCAAGTCTACTTAAAGAAGGCAAATATATCAGATTGCAAATTCAGAATAAATCAAAACTAGGACACAGTTACTAACAAAATAAGTGCAAACGTGGGCTGCATTAACAGATGTACAGTGTACAGAAGGAAAGAGGAGGAGTTCTGAAGTGTTCAGAACAAATCTGGACTGTTGGAATCAGTGGGATGCCACACTTTACAAAAGGAAGTTGTTCAGTGAGTGCCTACCCAGAGATGGGCAATGGCAAGGGGCTTGCAGATAGTGTGGTAAGGAATGGATGGAAGGTTGTGGAGTACTGAGTGTGGACACAGAAATCAGCCTTCAAATATTTGAAGCCTGGCAAGTGAAAGAGAAATTTGATTGTACTCAACTCCAAAAGTTATGAGAATCCAGGCATGGTGCACATGCCTGTAATTCCAGCACTCTGGGAAGCTGAGGCAAAAGAATTGCAAGTTCCAGTCTGGTCAAATTAGAGATTCATTGAGACCCTGTCTCAAAATAAAAAATAAAAGTAATAAATAAAAGGGCTGGAGATATACCTCAGCATGAATACCTTGGGTTCAAACTCCAGTACCAAAAAGAAAAAAAGTTTAACACAACATAAAAAGAAGGTTCATTTCCCATTACTGGGAAAATTAAAAAGGCCCAGGGACATAGCTCAGTGGTAAAGCACTTGACTAACAAGCACAAGGCCCTGGATTCAATCCCCAGTACTGAGGGGGTGGAGGGACTGGGACAGTGGTCAGACTGGGAGATGGTTTTGCTTGAGTGAAGGTAATAGTAGAGCTACTAGGGTTTGAAAGGGAATCATTTGCAGGATGACAGTTAAAGGAAGGAAGGTGGAATCTAAGCAGTCAGGATGGTGAATGTAGAACAGTCTTTCTCTTTTCATGAATAATAATCCAACGTATCATCATAGAACAAGCCCCACTACTTCTTTTCTTCCAGCCAAAGTCCAGTTTCAAGGCAGGAGAACTCTGCTCCCAAGGTCTTGCATAGTACATACAACATTGCAAAATGGCCATCCCACTTGCTTGTCCTTTGCAATATGACTTCTTGTTGCTTCCATGAAGAGACGAAGTCTGTTTCTCCACCCCCAAGTCTCCAGCATACCATTCTACGATGTCCTCTGTGTAGCCAAGAAAGAACTGTACATATGGCAGGAGCTCAACCCACATGCTGACTATAAATGATAAACTCCCAGAATAATGTTGGCTAAATCATTTGACCTTTAGACTCCTCTTCAATTTCCACAGTAATAATGAGGAAACTTATAAAAAAAGGAGATGATGCATTAATGACAATTATGTTTAAGAAGAACCAATTCCTCTACTACCTCCAAATTTTTCTCTTCTTTTGCTATTATCAAATTGCCCCTCCTAAGCTTGTTCTAAACTGCTTCCTTTGCATTGATATTATAGAGGTTTTAATTAGAACAGAAGTATTTCCAAAAGGGGGTCATAAATGAAGTTATTTTTAGATATTGACATCCTGAAATGACTTGTTCTAACAGATTAGCTAGTTACTTAGCAGGGCCTTGACAGAATGAGATGCAGGAAGTACTACTGGGGAAGAGGAAAAAGTCCTTAATGAGGGGACTGTGGTAGAATAGGCCTGGAGAGGAAAAGCAGAGAAGGCACTAGGAGCTGAAGAATTGGTGAGGCCCTAAGAAAGGGGATGGTGGGGTGGGGAGGAGAGGGAACTTAGGAGGGAAATGGGAAGGCAGCAATTGCTCATGGCAGAACATGTCCATAAAAGGTGCTAGAAGATGCATCAAAAGACTGAAACAAGAAGACACGAGTTCTCCACCAAGTCCTTTCCCTTTTCTGAGCTCATTTTTTCATTTCTAAACTAGAAATAACATTCCTTCCCCCAACTACTCCCTAGGATTGATGTGGGGGCCAAAAGAACTAACGGATTGAAAATTGCTTTGTGAATTGTGAAGCATCGGGCCAACACAGGTTTTTAAATTATTATTATTATATGCTTTAATAAGGGAGATAAGGGAAGTAAATGGGGAAAGTAAATACAGAAAGTAAATGGGGAAGATTCTTTCCCTCCCTATTGAGAGGGGTGAAAAATCAGCTCGAAAAGGGAGTGTAAGTCTGAGCTAAGCTCTTTCTAATATTAGAATTACATGCAAATAAAATTGCATTTGTAAGTGAGGCTTTTTCTCTTACATAAAACAACCAGGCATCCTGAACTTCTTCTCTTTCCCTTCTGAAGATTTTCAGTTTGGCGAGCCAATGTGCAGGTAAGCAAGGACGGTGTAACGTGCACAGTTTTGTCAAAGCTTTTTGGTGGCAGGGTGGGAATGAGCACTCTGCCAGTTCCAGAAATATTCTGTAAATATTGCCCATCATTCAGTTGTGAATCTGAAAAGGATGTTAGATATCTGTGCCAACTTTCAAACTCTACATATAAGGAACCAGATATTATGAGGCTGTCTCATAGTGAGATAGAGGCAGAGCTGAGACTCCAACCCAGGGCTTGTAAATGTCATTCAAAAAATTCTTGAACAATAGTGTGCTCCCTACTCCCCACTGGAATTCAGGCAGGAACCCTAAAGACTTAAGAGTTTGGGAAGACAGCCTCTACTTCAGCTTTACTTACACCTTCTCTTATGCTGCCAGACTAACCTCCCCTAAGCTTCACAACCCTAGTATTTCTCTGGAGAAAATCTCAGCTTTAATCTTCAAGGCAGGTGAGCTCATTGGGAACTTATTAAGTCTGCATCATCTCCAAGTCTGGTGTACCCTACTGGGGATGTATGGCGGCGAGCCTGCCCTTGGGGCTAGCATTACCCTCCCTCCTCATCCCTCTTAGCCTGTCTCAGAAGGCATTTTGTTCAACAGGAAGCTTGGCTCTACCTCTGATCACACACAACATCCAGATAATGCTGGAGCTACAGTTCTTCTCTGAAGCTTCCCAAAATGAGGCCAAGGCAAAGAGGCAGTTCTCATCAGCATATCTGCCACTGCACAGGCAGACTGAGTTTCATGACAACCACAGGAGCAGAATCCCACATATCTACTTTCCTTAAGGGAGGTGAGCACAATCCAATTATCTTTTTCATTGATTTTAAAGGAAGGTAGCCAAGATTCTGTAAAGCAATCCGTCAGCTGAAGAGCACCTATATTCGATCTGACGATCTGGTCAGAGACAGCAGGACAGAGGCCCAGAACTGCACCACACACACACACACACACACACACACTCCAACATTCTCACCAATCCATTCAAATGTCCATACTAACTGCTTAGACATATGCTAGTGCACACACTCAGACACATACTGACACACATTCTGATATTATCTCTCAGACTCTTAATTCCCTTGGTATACATTTAGGCGTCCCACTCCAAGCTCATCCCTGGCACTGCTCTGCTTAGCCTTACTGTTGCAAATGTAGGAGACCCTTCTTTGGAGAGAGAAGATCGTCTCGGCCTCTCACTGCTGATAAACCAGTCTACTCACCTTTGAGGGCATACAGCCCACATTCCCAAACTCCAAAATACCTTGGCTCCACGTGTCCATTTTAAAAAGATGCATTTCCCAGTTGCCTATTTATTTAACACACAGCAGCAAATAGCTAAAGCCTGTTTTCTTTCCACTCATTATTAAAATTAAAAGATGGATCAACAAAGTATTTTCACACTCAAAATTCATGCAGCCAGATTTGGGTTTTCTTTTTTAATAAAGAAAATAATGTATTTGAAGACCCCGTCAGCTTTCCAGGAGAACTGACTCCTCACTGAAAAATGATATGCAACTGCAAGAGAGATATCATATATATATGATACGTGACTACATTCCCTTTTAGCAAAGAGACAAAAGGAAAATAAGAATGATCGGGATACGAAGAGGGGTAGGGAAACCACCAGAAGGTCGGGAGAATAAAGCACCAAGGCTATGGGGAGGCACCTTTCCAATGTCAAAATCCCAGCTCTCATGAGAGCCCATATGAATCCATGCCTGGCAGACATGCACGGAGGAACGCAACCAGAGCTCCTTTTTGTAACCAACGACATCAATGAGTGTTATTATTATTAGCATGATCACTGTCATCTCCGGCTCGCATAGCGGGGTGCTGGTACTTACCCCAGTAGATGAGCACGAGAGAGAGGGGAAACAAACTGTTGAAGGCCGGCATCCTTCTCAGCAGGTGGCTTCCGGGGCTAAACAGAGAGATTCCCTCAGTCAAGGACTGTGCCCTCAGATTCTTTCGAGGAAACCCTTCGGGACGAACTGCCCCGAAGGGCGACTTTCTGACAGGAAGAAGGGCGAATCGCCTTGCCTGGGGAAGCTCTGCGCGCGCTCTCAGCCGGGCGGGTCTCTCAGCTCTAAGCTACCACGCAGATCTCCCCAATTCGAGGGAGCTGATCCCCAGCTCCGCGCTCTCTCCCTGGAGCCCGCTGCTGGGATCCGGCTCAGCACCACGGACAGTAGCCTCCCCGCCCACCCCGGAACTTCACAATCCAGCTGGTGCCCCGACACGCTCTGCAAGGCCGGGTGTCACACGCTGGCGCTAAGACGCTGCGCCGCCGAAGGGGTCCATGTTGATTCACCTCTGCCTCCCCTAGGAACAGCTACTCTCCGACTAGGATCCTCGAGATCGGGAGCACGGGCTTCTTCCGCCCCGCCCGGCTTCTCCCGCTGGGCGTGTCCCGCCACAAGAAGCCACCCGGGCCGCCCGTCAGGGCTACAGAATCCGGTGCACGTCGGTCGGGCTCACGCCGCCCTCGGCTCCCCAGGAGGGAAGATGTTAAGTCCCGTTGGCCTGGCGATGTCAGAGGGGAGGTTGCGTGGAGAGGGGGTGCCCCTTCCCCGGACTCGCCCGTGGATCATGCGGGACGCCGTCCCTGGGTCGCCAGGAATCTGCGGCCCCTCTCAGGCCCCCGGGCCGTGTGCGCAGGCGGCTCTCCGCCCCACGGCTACCACGGACCCTCCCCCTTGGGCGCGCACTCCCCACCCCCAAACCGGCGTGCCCCTCCCAGGGTCGAGCGCGACGCCGAGCGGGGCGGAGCCGGGCGCAGCGCAAACACCTCCCGCCGCGGAAGCTCTTGGCGCGCTGGCTTCCTCTCCCGGACTCCCTCTCGCGCCCATTAAACCTCTCTAGAGCCACCGCGCACCACCTTCCTGCAATTTACACCCTGCAGGCGGCCACCCCACTCCTGCCCCGCACAGACGTCCCGGCCTGTAGCTCCGGGAAGGGGAGGGCCAGATCTCTTTCAGGCGGTGATGTCATCTGCCCTGTATGTGGCTCCTGGCTTCTTACCCCCCCCCCCCGAGCCCATCTCCTCTAATATAGTTTGTCCAGCCATTGTCTAGCCTTAACTAATTGATTCCCATCACGACGAACGCAGCAAGACAGTCCAAGTGCGGAACCGTGAGGCACACCTGTTCGCGTGTGCACACTCCCTGAGAGGTGATTCCAATGTCAGCCAAGAGAAGCGTGGGGTTGGGGTCAGAGGCATCCTTCCCTCTCCAGCTTCTGCACAGCCCTCCTATTGCACTTTTTAATTTTTTGGTACCAGGGATCGAACTCGGGTCCTTGCGCTTGCGCAGCAGGCGGCGAAACCACTGAGCTAAATCCTCGGCCCTATTATTGCACTTAAAAAAAAAAAAAAAATTAAAGCAGATTGATTGTGGTTTGGCGTCTTCCCTATTAGCCACTCTCTAGTCCTAGCAGCTGTTAGAGTGTCCCCGCCCAATCTGGAAGGGAAACCTAAACCTTTAACACTCAGTTATAAACTCAAGTTGACATAACAGATTAGGAATGCCTGGAACTGAAATGAGAGATGAATAAAGAAAGATCAGTATAAAGGCCTGGCCTCGCCACCCTCTCCTCATTACCTCCTGTTCTCTTGCCAAAAGGGGAAGCTTAGCACTGATGTTCCAGAAGGGAACGCAGAGTTAACAGCTGAGCCTAAGTGAACAGGCAGCAATCCCTCCAGCACGTCACACACAGCAACAGAGTGTCACCTATGAGATCTTCCTGGGCAGGGAGCCTCCAGGCCAAAAACTATGTTATTCGGGTACGAACTCCTGCAGGATGCTGTATTATACTTGCATGGGAAGTTAAAGTAGACTTAACCTCCTTTCCAATCCACATCCCACCCCACCCGCAACTTTCCTCATAAACATGCTTGCCCTTTTTCTTTGTGAGAGCTTACTACCTTACAAGTTCTTCCCTTTTAATGTTTAAGGAAGTTCTTTAATTCAGTTGAATTCTGAACACCCTTCTTCCCCTAATATTCTTCTGCTCCTGATATTATTTCTACCACCAGACTTTTTTAAAAAAAAAATCTAGGCTAAGCTTCCTCAGTTACTTCCAGTGTTCACTATTTTCTAGTAGTTTTTGATCTTAAGCCACCCTCCTGGTCACTTTCTCAGGAGGATTGTTAGTTTATCAACATACTTCTCAAAGTGACCACTGTTCCTTGGGTGGTCTGGTCAGGATAAATCCAGTGGATCGTGGCCATACTCTCTTGAGGATGTATCTGTTTAAACACACTTGAGTTGCTTCTTAGTCATAATGAGCTTGTGTTCAATTAAAATCCCATAGTATTTTTCACTTGACCTGTTGCAGAATCGTTTTGTACTTGCACAGTATATTTTGGAAATTTTATTATGAAACTTTGCATGTACTGTGGTTAAAATTTATTGGTTTCAACCAAGTACTGTATCATTCTGTTAAAATTTTTTATTGAGTTGTGACCCAATCACCCCATATATCTCTCTTTTAAGCTTTCTTTTATCTCTGGACTGGGCAATCACTTGATCCACCTTGTGTTTTTAAAAAGATGAATAGAAAAAATAAAAACAAAGAGTCCTAAAATCTCACTCTACCTAGACAATGAGCCACTAACTAAACTTCTTTAGTACGATTGCTCAATCATAAACACTCAAACACATCTTTCTACTTCCCAAATGTAAAGCACAACACATTTAGAAAATTTAAATAAAAGCCATACGTGAGAGGAAGTAGATTTGTAATAATCCATAGGAAAGCAGTAGGATCAATCACCTACATTTACAGGGAACAAATTTTCGGCAATACATTTTAAACAGTTCCAAAATGGAATGAAGTACCTTTTGTTGTGTACAAACAATTGTTATCCAATAACAGGAATATTTAGGAGAAAAATATTCTAGAGGTTAGAAATCTGGAATAGAATGTGGCCATGTTCTAGACATCTTTGGGATTCTATGATTTTATTGAAAGTCTCACCAATTTTGGGAAACATAGAGTGACTGAAATTTTTCGGTCTGATGATTTTACCGCCATCCAAACTACCACATCAGTTTGGCTTCACTTTACAAATTTTAGGTCCATTTATACATATTCTCAATATTTGTAATGTTTTCTGTTTATCAACCCTATTTTAATGGTGACTTTGAGGCTTTTAGAAGAGGTTTTGGAAAAAGACATTTTTTGCCTTTGATTCCTATTAGCCACTTCTCGTGTCCTCCCCTCTCTTAAAAGTAACAGCTTTTGTTCTCTTCAATCATCTGCTGTTTTCCTTGATTTTTGATGGTGGTTCTCAGGCACTTGTGCAAATACCTGAAGTTTCCTGAAATACATTGGCTTTGTTTGTTTGAGACAGTCTTCTACGTTGCTCAGGCTGGCCTTGAACTTGCAATCCTCTTATCTCAGCCTCCCAAGTACCTGTGACTACAAACATGCGCCAACATGCCTGACTTTTAAGAGTTTTTATATTTAAAATGATTAAGACATTTCTGCAGCTATTTTTGTTTCAATCCTTCTTTGCTGGTGTTTGTTTGGCCTTTTCCAGCTTGATGACCATCCTGTCCTTACAGTTGATGGGTGAAACTATTTTCCAAACAGTATACTCAACAATTTTTATATTCTGTAAGTTGTCCTTTGGTGTCCATGGGGAAATGGTGCCAGACACCAAGATTCGAAAATGCCCAAGTCCCTTATATAAAGTGGCATACTGTCTGCACATGACTACATACATCCTTCCATGCACTTTAAGTCATCTCTAGGTTGTTAATAATCCCTAATGCAATGTATGTAAATTGTTGTTATACTATGTTGTTTGGGAAATAATGACAAGAAAAGAAGTCTGTACAGATTCAATACAGACACCCTATTTTTTCCCGAATATTTTCTATCCACAGTTAGTGGAATTCATGGATGCAGAACCTGTGCACATGGAGCCAAGTGTGCTTCTTTGCATAAAGCCCTCCCATTGCATTTCCCTGCACCTAAATAAAATCTGGAATTCTCCCCATGGCCTGGCAAGGTTGGCCCTGAGCCATGGCTGCTCTCTCCACACAGGTCTGCTGCTCTCTGTCTTGTCTACAATGTTCCAACTGCACTTAATAAAAAATGTACTCACACTTATCAAGATTTTCCCAACTATTATTATTTTAGTGTTGTCACCCAGTGTCCCCTCTGCTTAGAATGCTCTTCATTCTGCAACTGGTTTCTTGCGAGTTTGGTCTGGTCTCAAATGTGCTGGTCATTTTTTCTAAATTGGCTACCAGGGCCGGGGATTTAGCTCAGTGGTTCCGCTGCCTTCCCGGCCCTAAACTGGCTACTGCTCGCCTCCCTCACCTGCAACTACTTTACTCATTATCCCGTTTGTTTCTCAGGTCTTTTTTTCACTGTCAACATTTATTTTTTTTTACTTTATGTACTTGCTTATTTTCTGTCTCCTCCCATCAGGATATTTCTTCTCCATGAAAGCAACCTTGTTGTTTCTGTTTGCTGCTGTGTTCCCCTGCCTAGATTGGTGCCAGGCAGGTACTAGGTCATCTTCCTAGAAAACGCAAATCTACAAAAAAATGAATGGATGAAGATCTAAGAGTAATGCAGAAGGAGTGAAGAGCTAAAGCCAGGATCAATACAGGGCACAGAAAAGGAGTCGTTAGAGAAATAGGAGAAGGTTCAGCCAGACTCAGCACCACAGTGGCCAGAAGGAAAGAGAGCTTTCAGACCTGAAGGACACTCTTCCTTTGAGGGACTCAAGATAATTATGTTTGAAGATTGAGGAAGATGATGGTACAGAGCCTGAGGTGTTCAGAAGTTTTGAGATGGAGGAGACAAAATGATTGGTCCAGAAGACTGGCATCTCAGATATGCACAGGGAGCTTAGTTTTGCAGAGGGAAGAAACTCATTTCACTAAGATTGGCAAGGGACTAACTCCTCTGAGCCTCAGGGTCTTGAAACAGAATGAGAAAAATACTACTACCTGCTTCATAGAAAGAATGAGAGACAGGAGTAGTGGCAGTGATTTTCTGAGTAAAGAATGGAGCTGGGGACAGTGGTACACACCTGTAACGACAGCACTCTGGGAGGGTGAGGCAGGAGGGTGGCAAGTTCAAGCCAACTCTGTGCAACTCAGCAACTTAGTGAGAGCCTGTCTCAAAATTTAAAAAGTACTGAAGGGCTCGAGATGAAGCTCAGTGCTGAGGTCCTGGCTTGATCTGTGGTGTGAAATAGTAGTAATAATTATAATAATAGAAGAATGGGACCTTAATCTATACATCTTGATCTTGGTAAAGCCATATTATCCACAGATTGAAGATAGTAAGGAGGCCCAGTGGAATGTGAGACTGGGGAGATGCTGTGAATCACTGGGGGAACCTTCACGAAGCATAGAAGAATGACAAGAGAACCATTTCCAGACAAATCCATACCTCAACTAAGAGTCAAGCTGCAGAAATCAGAGCCCAACCGAGGTGAATCAAGTGACCTGCTTTCACTATTCTAAATGGATTTTGAAAAATAGTGCACACCTCATGGGACAAGGAGAGGGAAGACATGTTTATTTTAAACTGTGGCCAAAGTGTATATATGAGACAGAGATATCAGGCTCCCCACTCACTCTGTAGTGCTGCCGGCCAGCTGTGTGGTATTGTCATTAGCCAAGGGAAGTCTGGGATTAGAGCAGGAAGAGCAGCATGATTATCAGACCATTTGATCCCTTCCTGGATTTGCACATGGCA